AGCTTTTCGCCTGGAGATACATATACCGTCTATATATTCATGCTAGTCGGGATGCCGTTACATAAGGCGCCTCGCGGCGAAAGAAAGTTATTTCTCAGTTCAGTCATATATCTATACTTGGTCCACCGAACTAAATCATCTTCATCGCGCAATGGTAAATGAGATATCTTTATTTCATCAGTCTATACCAAGGCGAGTGCTCCCTCTTCGGGGTTTCGGGAACAGTAGTTATCTACAAGAGGTACAAACAGAATTTAATGAGCGGGTGTTAAATGTGTACCGGTAAACTGTGCGAATAATTACGCATAAAATATTTTATACAACGAGCTATGCACAATTTATTTTTATATTCTAAAAATTGTGAATGGACGATTATGCATCGTTAACCGTGCACCGTTCAATTGTGCACAATTGTAAAATTTAAAAAATTGTATACACGCCATTCTACTTATCTTTTAGCGTTATGCTCCGAGAGGTCCTTGTTTCTGCTTATAAAGCATATGGTGTACAATTATAGAGTGCACAGTTCGTGGCACACAATAGTCTGTGCAAAATCTTCGAGTCGTAAAAATAAATTGTGCACAATTCTTGGCATAGAATGTCATGCGTACAGTTATTAGAATATTAGATTTATTGGTGCAAAATTAGATTACACCCGAATATAATTTTTCAAGTATTACGACAATGCAGAAATAATAAAAAGAAAAAAGAAACTTTACGGCTAGCATTTAATAGACCTATTAACAATTCAAATCACAATGTAGTAATGTTCAACTTTAGACCAAAATACTCGGGTCATTTTGGTCACTGTACAGGAAATATCTGTGTAGATCATTCGAAAGCACCGATGATCTTGTAGAGTCCTTCGGTCGATGATTTGCATATAATACGAATTTGACAATCGTTGCTACCAGAATTAATCTCGTTGTTCGACTTGAGCAACGCAAAATATAATGTTCATCTGTAGGGTTAATATTCATACGTGACGTCTCCATATATGGTAAGAGTATTTTATCAATACCTGAATAACACTTTGAGGCGGAATAAAGAAAAAAAAGAGAATCAATACTATTGTCTCTCTAGAGCAGATTGTATTTGACAGAAATAGGAATATGGACCACTTGTCGCGGTATAAAAGAAAACAAATTGCATTTACGTCTCGGCACAATTCTCCTTTCGTATTCTTACAGATAAATTAAGTTTTTTGGCTTTTATCGTTTTATTGCTTTTTATTGCATCGTTCTTTCAGTCATTTTTGCACTTTATTTTTATCGATCTTCTTCATCGTAAGGAACATTTACGAAAGATAAGTATTAATATATATAGAAATGCCCAATGAGTAACTTCAGACGCGCTACTAGATTATTCAATTTTACCTTTCAATTCCACACCGTTACGTTTCAACGCTGTGCCGTTTTCAACCTTCAATTACGAAACTCGACATCTCTGATGAATAAGCTTTTTGACAGTGAGAGACTGGACAATATGATTTGTCTGTATTTTTTTTTTTCCTTCAATTACAGTACTCTTATTCAAGAGCCTTATTGGCTAGGAGCTACCCAATATATCTATTAATGAGATGCTATATTTTCAAGGTATTTTTGCAAATGATGCAATTAGCTTCGAGATTAATCAGAAAAATCCACACTTTTTGTAAAGACGAAGTTACAGATTTCGGACTGTTTTTTGAATAAATTAAAGAGATCTCAATTTGACAAATAGAAAAGTATTTTTGTATTTATTATCATTTGATAAGGATCGCTGTTTATTTTGTCGAATGTCATTTCCGGTTCAAAAAGTTATTAAACAAAAGTTATAGCTATAATGTGTGTAATTTTGAACGCAGAACCGGTGATCTACATATGTACACCTCCTTCCAAATGACTTACTTATTTTTTGATCCGTAATTTACAGTAAACTCGGTGAAAAGAGATAACCTTCTAGATGAGAATAAACTATACAGCCTGATTATTAATATAAAAACTGTTCTTTTCAAAATAAAATATTACAAAGTAAATCATCCCATAGAATATGAAATGTTCGAAACATATTTTGGAACATATTTTTTATTGCGTCAACTTTTTCTAAAAACGTTTCTCAGATGGTTTTACATAACTCTTAGACATAATCTTTAAATATTTATATATATATTATGTTGGAAAACTTTTGATGTTTTTAGTTTACAAAAATTACCTTTTCATTAAACTCAATGCAGCAATGTGTTAATTATATATATAACTTCGAGTAGTGCACATGCTCCGAATTTCTTGTTTGCCCTGTATACCCTAAATGCCAAAAACGCTGTATTCCAATACAGTGTTTGCATAACTAGAGCACGCTTTTCATGAAACTATTATTTTGGCTCTGGGTAACTATCATTTTAGTCACCCTAGATATCCCGATTCTGCATACAGTTCGAAATCCCTGAAAGAGTACTTAATCCGTATATTATATATATGTATTTACTAAACAAAGCGGTAGAAACTATAGCACGTCATTTGTTATAACGATCCCGATGAAGTAGATCCTAGCATTTTTGGCTGTTGGGGTGGCTGCAGTGCCGTTTTTCGGAGGCGGGAACTACATTCATCTCTGCTCCCTCGATACACGGCTACATGCAGCTTCTGCAACCCCCGTATTCTCTCTGACCATTAAAACGCTCGCCGAATGTTGGGAGTAACTGGCTTCTTTGGAATGTGTGCCCCTGGTTCTCTTTGACAGCCCTTCTTCAGAGGCGTAGCCGGCTCACTTGGGCCCCGTGGATATAGAAATTTTTGTTTAATCCTCTCGGGTCCGCTTAATGAAAAAAAAAAAAAAAAAAAAAAAAAAAAAAAAAAAAAAAAAAAAAAAAAAAAAAAAAAAAAAAAAAAAAAAAAGAATCGCTCCCCACAAGGAAACAAATACAAATTCTTTCAATAAATGTAATTTAATGAAACGCAAAACGCTCCTTAACCTAATTGCTCTGGTAACATAGCTAAATTCATCTAACATTGCGACATGGCAAATCGCAAAATACATAACTAATCGTTCTGCGTCGTGGATAAAGTTATATGACTAATCTGGAAAATATTATCATTATTATTGTCCATTGACCAGCAATCTGTTTAGAATATGACGTAAATTATAATTATACAATTCAAACACTGTTTAACGTGCTTGACGGTTATGAAAATACGTCAATCGTTTCAATATAAAGAAATCTTTAATATCTACATTCTAAAAAACAAATATTTCGTACGTCAAAAAATCAAAGTTGTCATGTATCCGTAGGCCATAAAGTGAAGGAGAAACTCAATCTTCATATTATTTGGTGCAAAAAATATTCGACGAATTTATAATTGAAGTTCTCTGCAAAGAACATTCGCATTAATGAACACAATTATCTCCCATAAGATCCTTGAACCACTGTAAACCTTCAATTTTTGTTACTGTAGTGTAATATACTACAAAAAAACAGTTAAGCGTTTTATTCGCATTCGTCGGTACAAGGTTGTATTCGTTAAAAATTTATATTTAACCTTGACTGCAATACTAAATAAGTAAAACCGAACGATAATACACGTAACAGTAGTAAACATAATAATCGTAAGATTACCTAACAAATGTACACCCCTTCTAGTTTGGACTTCGCGATCTAACAGTGGGACGAAAAATTTTTAGATGACAAAAGTATTTTTGTTCAATACCAAAAAGTATAAGTATTTTACTATCGTGTCGTTTAGAATAAAAGCTTACGTCACGTATCTTTATTAATTACCAATTCTTTAATGAGGTCTTATCTCCTCCCTATAACGGGACAGCAGATTACAAGTCATATTTTTATGAAATTTTACACGGTAACCCATCGTAAAATATAAGCCATCACGAATCACGTTAGAAATTTATATACGAGAAATATTGTTTATAAGAGTAACAAATTCGGCATATATGCTTATCACAGTCTAGAAAAATTTTAAAAAATTATAAAGCAATGAAAAAACATGAATAAAATAAATATGTATGTATATCTTAAAAAAACCTACTGGAAACACCTAATTAAAAACACAATCCTTATGAATAAAAATCGAAATCCACCGTTGAATTTAAGTCCACGATTAAATTGAGTGGAAAGGGCAATTCGAGTAAGCAGTAAAGATATTTAGGTGGGCAGAAACGCATGGTTCGTGCCAGTTGTAGAAGAACTGTGGTACGGCTGAGTACACATCTCGCTCTCACTTTTGAGACACAGTGCCGTTGTACAAGACAGAACGGGTAAGTAAAGTGGTTAATGGTAGTAAGTGCATTGCGTGAATGCAACTGAAGAAAGTGTTTCCGTATCAGGTTGCGCAATAGTTTGGATACTTTGCTGAAACTCTCTCTTATATCGATGCACATATAGTGGGTTATAGCTCATACTTAACCTCTAGTACACATGCCTCAGGCTGCTATAGTGGTACAGTAGAAAATATATGTATAAAATTAAATGAACATAATACAAAGCAGTGGAGCCAATTACGATGAACTAAGCATATGTACGTACAATATATAAAAACTAAAAACTTGTATACGAAATTTGATAGTTACGCACGCGAATCTTATCTCATTGTACGGATCGATGTACTAATAAATACTATGAGTTCATATTATTAAATTAGTTATTTTCAATGAACTAAAAAAAATTTAATGATTTTTATAACATCGAGGATCGTGATGTAAGAATGCGTAATTCAGTCTATATTATTTTATGAGAAATATTATTTGACAACATTTTTTTTTAATGTCGATGGAAATACGATTGGATCAAAACTACTATTTAGATTGTCTGATATCGCGAATTTTAATGTTATATATTTTAACACTGACATTGAAAGAAATACAAGGTCGAAGAAGCAAGTATTGTACATTACGTAAAACTGTTTTATGAGTTTCCCTAATTCGTAACATGAAGACACTTTGTTGGGACACGCTGAGTGATTTTAAATAACAAGTTTTGACATCGTTGAACCTCATGTCTTATGGACATTAGTCAGCTACGTATGACGTGCCATGGCGCTGAGATGTGGTTTCAACACGTTTGTGATAGTGTGACATACATATAATAAATTGACTGTACAGAAGAATATTCATTACAAATGTTTCGTCTTGAAGAAATTTGTATTTGTTCAGTTGAAATGACTTAGTGTTAATAATAAATATTACGGGAATGGTAGACTCATTGTCAGTATTGGCAGGATGAGTTAAGAAAATCAAGATATATCTCACTGGGATAAATTATTACATTGATCTAAGTCCGTGTTATTGACCATTGAAAAGTAAAAGTAAGTTTAATATAATGTATTGTTTAGTCGCTGTACATCAACTACTTTACTCATGCATTTTAACTACCATTAATTTGGTTGAATCACCGGTCTGAAAAAAGTAGCTATTTCGGAACCTGCAATAATTCACAATAATACATAAAAATCGAGTACAAGAAACATAGACTGTATAAAACTTAACAATCACATAAAACAGTTTTAAATCACGACTTATTAATCGTCAAGGCTTACATACCGTGTGTCCATAATGAATTCAGTGGATCATCCGTAATAATCGTAATAAAAAATAGTTTTTTTTTAAGTTTCTGACAATTACACCAGAATTAGTTTTTTCTTTTGTTGTAATCGTAGAACATAATTTTTTTAGAAACTTCCTGCATCAGCAATACCATAGATACAGGGAGTTTCCTTGAAAATGCGTAAGCGGTATTCGATCTGTAAGCAACCCCTGTGGGTGCTGCCATCTCTCGTCGTTAAACAAACGACAAGCGCGCGGACCACCTGCCAATGTCGACAAAAGCAGTCTCACCCCTTACATATCCGAAACGGTAACCAGTAACCCTCGAGGTACGGGCATCCTTGGCCGCGAATTTACTCCGTAAAATGGGTACGTGCCAGTGAAACGGCATTTGCGATCGGCTGCTCCTGTGACAGCTGGGTAGGGCGATGTGTCAGAACGAGATTCTTAAGAACAGTTACGGGCGACGCGCTGGTACACTGTGTAGGGATCCCAAAGGATAATTCTAGAAGAGAAAATTTTGTGAGTACAGTGGCTAAAAATAATAGCGATATATTGTTATCTGCGTATGTAAATTAATTGAAACAATGTCGAGTTACTTATTTTATTATTCCTCTTATGAACACTTGACATCATGATTGAGTTATTTGACTGAACATTTAGCCGGCTGGCAACAGATGCTCAGTTCATAAGAGAAGATGTCATAGAGAGTGCTGCACCCAAAGTGAAAAAGTAAGAGGACTGACACTTTCGAGTGAATCCAGTGCCGATCCTTTTACAAAGCAGACGAGAGTGCCTCGTACCCATTGGAACCTTCGTGATGGTCCTTCGTTCTTGTGGCGAGTGTACGTCATGTCATGGCGAATCTTGTTACGTTTTCATTCTCTTTTGTTAAGTGAACGTACTCTGTACTTCAAGTGGCTTTGTTCTGTTGCTTTTCGTGATAATTCTTGCATCGTAACAGCTTGAAGAAATCTCTGAAAAGTTTTTTTGGTTTGTAAAAGCACTATTCTTTCCCTAAAATAAAAAGGAAATGCAGGAAATTTTCGTAACGTTGATTTAATGTGCTGTTGATTATCTACTTATCGGCTTTAGGTAGTTATTAATGAATTATCCAATTCGTGTGATTGTTTCGGACACTGCTACTGTCTTGTAATTACTTCCGAATTTTTTTCAGTTTTCTATTAAATCTATCACGAACGATGTGGAATGCCGTTGATATGCTGCATATTATTTCCGCATGAATATATCAGGTGAAAGTATTTCTTGGTATGAGCAAAGTAAATAGCGCGTGGGTGTATGAATTAAGATAAACAGTCTGTGGATAATAAGTGTTCTACGAATGTTACAAGTCTACAGCAGCTGAACCTCTGGTACTCTGCCATTTTGAAAAGTATTTTTGAAGGTCGTCGTGTATAGTAACAATGTTAAAGAATGATTCTCGTATCAGAATACTGGCGATAAATGAATGTTAATATTTGTAGGGAAAATAATTTTACGAAAGAAATATATAAATCGCATTCTAATACATTCCCACATTATCTCAAGTGTAATATCATTTGTTATCGACACAAATTAATATATTTACTGTTTCTAAAATTCATAACTTAAACTTTAATTTATCAAATATTTAATGCTTATGATTTCTAATCATATTTATCAGTTGACCACTTCCTATAATAATTATCATTGTGCCAATACCAACACAAAATTCCAAGTGAACTTCATGTATCAAATATTAAATCTATCCGTATAATTACGAAAAGATCCATATTTACGTCCTGAAAAAATACTACTGTACCGACACTTAAATTTGAACAAATTGTCAAAATATATCTCATTTAAGAGACTTTATTTCGTTATTGAATCAAAATTATATAATGTTACAAAAAAGCACAGTCATACATACAAATAGATATTGTATTACACAATCCACGTTTCCCTATGAAGTTCAATCTTATCCCTTAAATATATTTCAACACGTACACGTGAAATAGATAGCATGGGTCGATATGTCCAGGATCATGACCTATAGGCCATATTTCTTAGAGCAAGTTCAAAAAACAGCAAAAAAGTTTCCTCCTCTGCGTAAGCTATCCGGTATACCGATTATCTAACAGCTGTGCGCAATGAAGCAAGTGGGCTAACTTGGTTGTAGGGCAGAAACAATCGATAACTAAGTGAAGCGTATTCGATTAAATTACATTGTTAAACAATCTTATCAACAATGTCTAAACCGTGGTATATATTGAACTTGTACTTTCGGGTTTGGCATTTCTAATTGATGATTAATAGTCAGGTCGGCACTTGCCGAAAAGAGGAAGTGAACCATCGGATGTTCACTTATTAAGAGCTTTCTGATATCTGCCAACATGGGAATATCGATCGAGTCTAACTTTACTAGTCCGCGCATATGCCTTCAGTAGGGCACACGTGGAAAAAGGAGTCACATATTTCTATATACATATACGTGTCTTCAATTATTCTTTTCTCACTCTTTTATTTATTCATGGAAACTTGCATAAATCTTGTACACGTATACACGTATACATTTGCATACGTATCTACTACTATTTTGAATAATAAGACACGCGAAAAACGTAATTAAAATTATAGATACGGTATATAATCTGAAATACGAAGAATAACAGTTCGTTATTGTAAATATTATTTATTTAGATAAGTATGCACAAAAAGATAATTATTCCGATATATAGACACTTTAGAACGTTGGTTAATATTAAATGTGTATGCTTGATTAATCATGCAGAAATTTATATATCAGTTAATTAGTAACCATGCACAGTTATTGATAAACTAATCGTAATTTGAATGACAAAAAATGCTTTTAATGAAATTATGATATTATCGATGAAATGAGAAGGATGTCAAAATTTATAGTACTTTGAGAATTTAAAAATTATCTTCAAAGCATTATAGTTATAACAAAATCAAACTTTCTCGCCAATATTGTATTATCTGTCCGTCCGAGTTATCAGTAAGTACTCGTTTTTATACTGGGTCGGAGCAATCGGGAGTTGAACAAAGAGTGACTTTTATTAGCGATCGATATCTGCGAATCGTTAAACGTCGTTCTTCGCATTCTATATACATTACAGTGTACAGTATGCATGTATGGTGGAAAAAGGAAGTCGATACCTACCTGTGCAGTATATTCCTTGACACCAAAGATCGTATAGTCTACTTTCACACCCGGTTGTGAAAGTATGTATCGAGGTAAAAGAGATATATTTAAAAAATATATTAAAGATTTAATTTGATCTGACAATTATTTAAATTTTATCAAGCAGCTGGAATTTTAGTTGACAAAGAATTCATAATTATTAGAATTTAAGTATTTAATGGGTATGTAAAAAAGTCCACGACCTGAAATGACGGTAATTTTATCACTCAAGGTAACGTGCAACGGTAAATATGCCATGTAAATAAAACGTCAGATACGACTAATACCAGGGATGATAGCAAAAATAAGAATGATGATCACGGTAGTGGTCTAAATAGTAATGATGTAACTGTGATTAATGACGCTTTGAGATTCAATCGGGAATATCATAATTTTTTATTAATTTTTATTCTGGGCGTATGAAATAGTAATTGTTACAGTTCATAGAAAATTTCATTACTGTGAACCGAATGCAGCAAGACTAGATTATCGTAATGATGTTATGAATATTTATGAAATGAAACATGTATGAGGTATGATAACAAGAAGGATGAATTTAAAGAAAATAATTTTTTTTCTTTCAGATTGCTAAATAGTTAGACGAATTCTTCTCATTATGGGCACGACAAACGCACAGACCGATCCGGAGCACGGTCCTGACGAAGCTAATCCTGGTGGGAGTTCGATAGAAGCTTTTTTCGCTGAATCGGTTATACTTATCACTGGGGCAACAGGATTTCTTGGAAAAGCACTTCTCGAGAAGCTTCTAAGATCGTGTCCCCGACTTGCCACCATTTTTGTACTTATCCGTCCCAAAAAGGGCCAGACAATCGAGCAAAGACACAAGGAATTAATTGACAATCCGGTTAGTATTTTAATTTATTATAAACAGCATTAAAAAATTATTGACCATCTTCAATTTTGTGTATTATCATTACTCAAACTTTGTTTGAATTTCAGGTATTCGACAGAATCAGATGGGAATTCCCTGGTGCCCTGAACAAAGTACTTCCAGTCAAGGGTGACGTCAGTCAAGCCGAACTTGGCCTCAGCGCTGAAGACAGAATGATGTTATGTCAACGAGTTAATATAGTTTTTCATAGTGCAGCTACCGTCAGATTTGACGAACCGTTAAAGGTCGCGGTGAATTTGAATACAAGGGGTACAGCGTATATGGTAGAACTATGCAAAAGTATGAGAAACCTAATTAGTTTTATTCACATTAGCACGGCCTATAGTAATGCAGATCAGAAAGAAATCAAAGAAAAGATCTATAAGTGAGTGAATATTTTTCATGATACATACTTCTGTAGTTTACTGATTCACATAATTATATTTAAAAAATTATTTAATGCCGATATCATTTTTACAGTACAAAAACAAAACCTCAGACGATCATCGACATGTGCGATAATTTGGATGATGAAACTACGGCGATCCTCGAAAAGCGATTGATAGGAAAGCATCCGAATACTTATACTCTGACGAAAGGTCTTGCTGAGCAAATTATTTTCACTAGAGGTAGTGAGTTGCCTGTCGCTATTGTTAGACCAAGTATAGTATGTGCTGCTTATCAAGAACCTTTTCCTGGCTGGGTCGATAACGTTTGTGGAATTACAGGTACCTAATGATATTCTTAACTGTTATACAATCGATATATTATAAGTCAACTGTTTGGATATTAACTATAATTTGTTTCTTTTTTATTGTCTAAAGTCTCATGAAATTTAATTTGATATGATTCATTATTTTCAGGTATTATGATGGAAATTGGTAGAGGTACTATCAGAAGTATCGTATGTAATAAAGATTTGGTAGTGGACGTAGTGCCTGTCGATTATGTTGTGGACACGTTAATATGTGCATCGTGGCACAATACAGTACGGAAAACAAATGTTTTAAAAGTATACAATTGTACAAGTGGACCGTTTAATCCTATTAAGTAAGTTTTGTATGATATAAATTGATACAGTAGTGTACAATATTCATAATTGAAATAATCACAAAACCTGTGTATTTTACAGATGGGAAGAATTTGGAAGTCTGACAAAAAAACACGCGATAGATTCACCCTCGAAATACGTTATGTGGTATCCAGGATTTACTTTTAGAAAAAATAAATTTATACACAAGATCGCTGTAGCTATACTACATTTTCTACCAGCTTTCGTGGTAGATCTTGTTTTACGATTTCAAGGAGGAGAACCGATGTGAGTTGACAATTTCATTCGACCCTTCTTCTAAATTTCAATATAACATATAATTTTAAATGAAAATTATTTATTCTACTAGCATGATGAAAATTACAAAGCGATTTGAACGTGCTGCAAAAACCGGCGAATTCTTTGCGATAAATGAATGGCGATTTCATGGAGAAAACATGAAAGAGTTGGCAAAATTCGTAAAAGAGGCTAACGACGCTAATCATTTTAATGTCAATATTACCAGCTTGGATTGGGATTCTTACGTGCATCAGTATATGCTGGGAATTAGAAAATATATTCTAAAGGACAATCCTGATACATTGACCAACGCCAGAAATCGATTGTGCAAGTAAGTCTTGACGAGTGACATATTCATATTTCATTAATGCAAAAATTGCTATCATTTCAGATTATATTGGGCAGATAAAATCACTCAGGTACTCAGCTTGTTCGTCCTAGTAAAAATGATTGGGCGCATTGGTCGGTGATGTTTATGAAAAATAACTCGGCTAAATGTAAACGTATTCTTTATTAACACACAATTGCTGAAAAGCTCTCGAAAAAAGAAGAAAGGTCTATTATGTACATTCACCATTTATTTTTCAATGCAAATTTAGTAAGCTGAACATATTAGTAATACCATTTACATCGCTTGAAGCGATCTATGTGTACGAATTGCATCGTGGGTAGTATGCATTTTTCGACAAAATGCAATCAACAAATGCAACGTCAAAAATTCATGAAAAATTTTACATGTGTGACCTTTGCGCACGTGTACACATATCGTTTTAACGTATTTACATATATGCGAGATGGTCGTTTGTCAAAAATTAATAAGACTTGTATTTTTTTTTCTGGGAAGCACGGGTGTATAGATATTAATTAATTCAGTCTAGAAATGTATATCATTATACTGTACGCCGACGCAGTCGGTCGGTCGGTGGAATTGGAAAAAATATCTCTAAGAGGAAGAAGGAAGGGGCAAGTAGTAAATGGATATATAATATATTTGAAGTCTTGCCATTAAGTCAGAATTTAATTGGTCGACGAATAGTGCCATGTGTATGACACATAATGTCTCGTTCAATTATTTCACGTTTATAAATGTTTAACGAATGGCTCTCGTTACTTTATTATATGCTTCTCCTAGACATTGTCAACATAAGTGTAAGATCAACTTGAAATACCTCTTAAATGCTGCCCATCAGTTATAATGAATTAGCTAGATAACGTAACGATTACGATACATAAGGAATCAAAAGTACTACGATAATGCGATCGATTAATTCGAAGCCATGACACGATGGAATAATTATTACGAACATCGACTTCGTGTGTCTTATGAATAAGATGAGGCAAGCGATTTCGTGAAACTTTTTAATGAAAATTCTATCATCAACTTTCATTTGCATTCTGTCAGTTTTAACACGTGTTTTATGCGTTATAATGCACACCGGGTACAGCGCAGTGTATATGCTTATCAGTGCATTACGGGCAGCTAGTAATGATATGACTATTTGCAAATCATACGATAAACATATATATATCTGACTATAAAATGCTGCAGTTTCACTGTTAAATTTCGACATAGTTGATATGATCAAACATGTACTGTGTTATACTTTGACGTAATTAATTAGGGAGATTCTGTATAGCTAAAAGCATTTGCGTTACCTCTTATGATCGTGAGATAGGCCGACCACAAAACTTTGCAATTTACCTTACAGAAAAATTCTAGCAGTTTCTCTGTATTACTGATCTGAATGAAAACTGCCCTTACTTGAAAAACACAATCAGCAGTAAGGATCACCTGGTGCATTATGAACTTTTGTCATATGCTACCGATTCTAAAAACACGCTCGATATACCGTACAATCAAAGACTAACCGAAAGGCTTTAACATAAACAAAGTTATACGTTTTTTTTTATGAGCACTATAAGTTATGCATATTATGTACTTTTGCGACGTAATAAACGTATATACTGAGATGTAATTATACAATAATAATAATGTTTTTAAATAACAAAAGCTCGTCCTTTCTTACAACACATCATGATTATTTTTAAATATAATACGTAATAATCAGAATTAAATTTGAGATATCTTACGAATCTGACAACCGTTCGCATGTATAAAGCGGCTATAGCACGGCCATCATGAGTGCAACATTAACCAAGTACATGTTTTGTCCTTAAATTTTGCTTACTGGATTTATGTCTGCTTATTCAAAAAAATCGATCAAAAATATATTAGCCATGTATCTAATACACTTGTAACATTTTATTTTAAATATCTTACATTATACCATGCATAATATCTTGAATTATATCGAGAAATAAGGAATTGGTTGCGGTGGTGATTTCTTATTGTGCTTTTCTATTTCTGATCAAAATTATATAACGAAATTATCTGAAGATCATATTTCGACGAAAAGATATAATCTTTTGTGTGAATGGTCTTAAATAAATATACATGCGTTGTTTTTTTAAACCGTCTAACTATCCAGGGGTTGATGGACCGATTTAATCCGGCTAGTAATTCCTAAGTCCGTCCCCACCACCTCTTACTCCGACTGCAGTGGATGTAATATGTTCTTTGATACCTTGCGATGATAATCGCACCACAAGTTTTCATTAATATAATGAGTACATGGAAGTTAATTCAGCGACGCTGTTACGATTTACTTTCGTACAGATATTCGCTACTTGTAATATTAATTGCGTTCACCTGTATATTCATCGGCATAATACACTTTGGAGAGGTTAGATTTACATAGATTATATATAACAATAGACCGCATAGATTTTCATTGAATGATTTATCAATGAGAATACTCCTTATTTCTTACATTTTTATTAAATTTGAGTTCTCTAATATTTCCATTTTTAAATTGTATATTATCAAATATATTATTTATTTATCAATTAAGTAAAAGAAGTATTAATAAACTTGTATGGAGAGTAGAGATGGTTTGTATAATTACGATCTGAAAGAAAGTTATTTTTTAAGCTCTATCTTTTCAATCTATTGTTTTAAAAACTTTATATTCAACAAGCAAAATAGATTTTTATTTTCTATTTTGTAAAATATAAGATTCAACATTTTGTTACAAAATTATACTGTAAACATTGATAGCAATTTAGCAAACCAAATAGTTACATATCCTGGATATAAAATTTTTTTTTCAGGTGTGGATTGAATGGAGTAAAGAGAAATATGAAGCAGTCTTTCATTCTTTTAACGACAATATACTTGGAATATCTTTTCAAAAGAAATTGTGTCAGCATGTACCCATTGATGTAGTATATACTTGGGTTAATGGATCTGATCCAGTATTTCTTCAAAATCTTGAAAAATATATTCCTGTAAAAGATGTCAATGTGGCTGTATCAAGATTTAATGATAAAGATGAATTGCGCTATTCTCTTAGGTCTTTGGAAATGCATGCCCCATGGGTTAGACATGTTTATATAGTCACCAATGGTCAAATACCAAGTTGGCTAGACATGGATAATCCACGGATGACACTTGTGACTCACGATGATATATTTCCTGAAAAAAGTGATTTACCAACATTTTCTAGTCCTGCAATTGAAAGTCATATACATAGGTAAAATGTATAAAACGTAGTACTCTTTTTTGTAAGCAGTTTTAATAATGAAAATGATATTCAAAAATGCTTATACAATTATAGAATTCCTGGACTTTCCGATAAATTCATTTACTTCAACGATGATGTTATGTTGGGTGCTGAAGTTTGGCCAGAGGATTTTATAACTCAAGCAGGTGGCCAAAAAATTTATCTAGCCTGGTGGGTTCCTGATTGTTCGGAAGTTTGTCCATGGGCTTGGGTTGGTGATGGAGCATGTGATCCTGCTTGTAACACAACAATATGCGAATTTGATGGTCAGATTTTTCTACATTATTTTATATCAATCTATATCAAATATTTCTTTATTCTTCAATCAACAGGTGGAGATTGTGATCCAACACCAATTTCTACTGACAGTGAAGCTATGGAGGATGGAAACGATTATCCATATAAATATTTGCAAGAAACACAAATAAGAAATCAAGATGCAGTGAAAATGTTAAATATTATAAAACGAAAAAGTAATGCTCCATTGGTTAATGCCAGCACCAGTACATTATTATTTCGAACATTGAAGTCCTACGGTCAAGCAGCCTTAGAAGATAATAAAAAGAAAATGCACAGTATCAACATGCGTAATGAATTTGAGGAGCATCATATTAATAAAAAATATGAAAATGCTAATAAACAACATGGCGTACGACAAACAAATACAACGAACATGGAATATACAGTAAAATCAAATTTTTTGGATCTAAATCATTTCAATTATACTGAAAGACGCGCACAACTGAACCATTATCTTAATGATGACATCATTAATCTTGTGCATATGAATCATTCTGAAAAATCAAATAAATTAAGGCATTCAAATAACTGGAAACATAGAAATAGACAATTGGATACATACGCCGAGTCTCTGTTACATGTTAACAAAATCTATAATACAGCTTACGGATTTGAAAGACGTAGAGTCCCTGCTCATATGCCTCACTTACTCGACAAATGGATTGTCATGGATATGCAAAAACGTTTCCGGTTAGTATTTAAAAAAACATCCAATCACAGAGTAAGAGATGCGGAGGATATGCAATTTGCATTTTCATATTTTTATTTTCTAATGAGTGAAAAGCGCAACGTATCAACTGCAGAAATTTTCGCTATGTTTGACACTGATAAATCAGGGTAAGTAGTTTTAATATTCACCATTGATTTCATAAGTTAATTTGTTGTTATATCGTTCGTAGGACTTGGTCGGATAGAGAAATTAGAACTCTTTTATCAAGACTTTATCCATTGCCATTGGACTACAGTTTAGTTGTAGAATTTGAGAACATAATATCAAATTGTTCTCACAACATAGAACTTATAGAAACTGTAGAATCTCCATCTGGAGAAAGATATCTGGATTCAACTCTCGTAAGTATCCACATATGAATATATACAAACTTATGAATGAAAATGAACATAATAAAATATGTCAATCTCCTTCAGCCAGTGGTCACGAAAGAGTTAATATTAAAATGCAATACAATCTCTAAAAGACTTAACGCCAAATTTGGTAAAAACAGGCGTTACAAATATGAGATAATTAAAGCTGGAAGGAATGAAATTTTCGAAATGCTGACCAGTAATGTGTCGCTGACTGTTCAACTTTTGGATGAGATAAGGCGTGATCCCAAGTAAGTAGCGAATCTAGAATACATCAGTATTTAAACAATTCTTCTGAAAATTCCACGAAATAGTATGGACTTAAACTAATTTCAGGAAATTTATATGCTTGAATGATGACATGGATCCAACACGTCGTTCTGAAAATGATGTAGTTCGGGCACTTCTCAATGATTTTTATCGATCTCTCTATCCTTTAAGAAGTAGTTTCGAACTACCGTCTCAGTATCGAAATCGCTTCTCTCATCGTCATGAACTATTCGAATGGAGAGCGAGTCGTATGAAAGCTCGAAATTTGTTGCTAACTTTATTAGTCCTATTGCTAATTGCAACATTATATCATTTGTTCCATCATCAAGTGCGAAGACTATTCAGAATGCGAACACTGCCTACTCTTCTCGTTTAATGTAAAGTATTTTATGGTAAACATCATTGAATCATGTTAACTCATAATTGTCGTTGAGTCGATATTCTAAGATTATCAGCTTGTGACACTATTCAATTTATTGCTATTTTTTAACTGTTTTTCTTTAAGTCGAGCGATGAACTAGAAAATTTGCTTATAGCTTTGTGTATAAAAATTACGTAGGAGTCTTGTTCTGTTGAACTACAACGGGTTTTGACATATTGGTGAATAGATTTTTTATAATATCTAATATGTAATTGAGTTTTTGTTCGTTTTATAATATCTAACATATAATTGAGATAATACAAATCACTCAGTGATCAGGACCGAATTTATAATCTTTGTTTAAGGTACGTGTGATTAGACGATGAATAGTGTTAAAAACTCTTTTTTTGTTAACGTAACATTTTATTAGATTGTAAAAAAGTGGACTGACTTCCAACATTAACAGAAATACTATTACTGTGATACGTTATAGAAGGTACCATATAGGATTAATTAGGAATACTTGAAAGGTTACAAAGATCTCGTTTTATTTGTTACAATAAAAAGAAAAATTTTACTCATCCATTACAACTAGACTAAATTTCTATTACTTAGTTTTGTTTTTGTCTGACAGATAGTAATATAGGGTATCCAAAGTTGATTCACTTTTTTATCATATACATGTGAAACGTATAATCCAGCGTTTTTCTTAATCTTAGTCACATGTTATTATAACGTTGAATTAAATATTTAAAAATTGACTCGTGTATATCAAATATATTTGAATCAAAATATCTCTCAATGAACCGTAGGGTTATACATCACATAGAATAAAATCAGTGTCCTGTCATCGAAAACTCATCGAAAATCATATATTTCAAATAACAATCGCCGTATTTTAGAATTATTTAATATGGTTGTCCTTGTGTAGCTTTGTCTAATGTTTCAGGGTTGCTATTTTAATACCTCAAAATTTACAAATTAATGTGTTCATGAATTTTTACATATTCCTAACAGCTTAGTTGTTTTTATTTTATTATCATATCTTTATTGTTTAGAGGGGATTTAATATAATGCGTAAATTCAATTACGTACGCTTATTTCCTCACAGTTTCCTAGCTCGTGATAAATAATAAATGAACAATTACAGTTTCACTTTATGACATCTTAAGAAACTGTAATTATACATAAAATATATTATACATTGATCGTGTATTGTTCAGCTTGTGATTTAAGTAACGTACTCAGAAAGGTTTATAATTTGTTATCGTGGTTATTGGCGTATTTCTTATAGTTTGTTGAACCCCCTGCATTAACGATTATTTGTTAATAAGAGGAATATAAATATAAGCGATCAATAATATATTATATTTTCTAGTACAAGTCTTTTGAAATTTTGATAGATTTAATGATAGAATAATCATATGCAATTTTCATTATCACCTAGTCACTTAATGACACTTGCACTTATACGACCCAGTGTATACATTATGCAGTTTCATAGAAATTTGTATGACACTATAAAATTGATTATAAATATATCACTGTTAAAAATATATTTATTAAGTGACGATTCTACAATAAAATGTATGAACAATATTTATGTATAAAAATAAAAGTAGTATCTCCAAGTTTTTATCTTAACAATCTTCCGATTTGTTCGCAACGTTCAAAACGGTTAACAAAAGTAATAGAAACTCCAAAAAAATGAATTTTTAAAATTATTTAATCAAGTTACATTATATAGGGGTACTTGGAAAATGTCTCGATCAAAATTATTTGTCCTTCAAATATGACTGTACGTGTTATACGACTTATCAATGAATGTATTGAAATAATAATATTTTCAGATATAGTAACGAATTCTGTTTGTACATCTTTACTGAAGACATTTACAAAATAGACTATCTTAATAGCGTATTAAAAGTATTTACTGTGTAGATGATAAATCATCTTCGGAATCCTGAATTTGTTGTTTGCCTAAGGGAGGACAATGAAAATGGCGAATATTCCTTGGCCCAACCATTCCTTCCTGCCGCCTTGCACAATCACTCATCCATATTGCAACATTAGCTATTTGTTCTGCTGATAATCGAGGACCTATCCCTATTATTAATAATATAAAATAATTTGTAGAACTGATTTGAATTCTTCATCGTTGATAATTAAATCCAATCAATGAAATCGTACCTGGTATATTTGGATAATATCTGAGCAACGTAGAATCATCACCAGAATGTGATCGCTTCCTCTGAATACTCAAATCTGATTTATCTGGACTTTTACATTTTTTTAATATCCCATCTTTATCTAGACTTTTCACACTAAATTCATTCTCATTCAAATTTTCTTTTATGAATTCTATAGAAATTTGTGTTTCTTCTTGATAGTTTATACCCTTATTATCATTTACTAATGCTTTATCATTCTCTTTTTCTATATCGACTAAGACCAGTTTCTCTCCCCCATGAGATTCGACATTGCCAATATCACTTTTCGTCTTGTCAATTACTCCGTCTTCCTCATTGACAGAACCTACACAAGAATGGGAATTTTCTTGTAAATTTTTATAATATTATATTTGTAGTCTGTAAAAATTTACCATTATCCTCGTTTGTAGCTTTAGAGTTTATATTGATATCTGTATTCTGAGTTGAAGTTGAATTTCCACGCTCAATAGCAATTTTGTCCGATTCACTAGATAATCTTATTACCCGAGCTGAAACAATTGATCTTTCTTGATCAGAGTCGTGCACGACAAAATCCGATAGATCCTCATCAAACGATTCTCTTTCAGAACCATCGCATCGTAAACCAGCTAAATAACTACCGTACATAAAATTACAATCGATCTGGTTAGTTATTTGCTAGTTATGAATACGAACCCATAAATTTCCATGAATAATGTAACAGGAATCATCGCAGAACCACCATCAGATTCGTGAGTGAATAATTCACAAATAACAATCATCGTCTCAAGTAGACTAGAAGTAAGAAGACCAGCAGCAATTGCAAGGAACTTTTTCACTTGACATTCTTGACGAAATTTCCCAATCATCATTATTAAATTAAAATCTTTTCGATCCAAGCAAAGACATTCCCAACGACGTAAAATTGTCTTCACCGATAAAACCTTATTGTAATCTAAAAATCCAATATTAATTGTTATACTGAATCCACACATTATATTCCTTCCCTCGTTTTCTAAAAGTACTGTATAAATAACTTTGAACAAAAATACCTCCAAATTGCCTAAGAAGAACTTTTAGAAATCCCAAAGTCAATCCAGAAGGAGTACTCGGTGGAGGATACTCCAATCTCATCTTCGTAGGTGGATCCTCACCTTCGGCTAAAGCCCGAAAATAAGCACTGGACCATTTAAGAAGATCATACGGTTGTGTCCTAATGGCTGCTTTACAAAATTGTTTCAAAATCATAGGTAATCGTGGTGGAACGTTAATTTGTTGAGTACAATAAAGCTGCTCGGCCAGAGGCATTATTACAAAAAAATGCAGTATAATTTTAACAATTTTTGTATAACCAAAAAAAATCACTGGAAAAGATAGATTAATTTTTATACTTGTAGAAAAAAATTCATTAATTAAACTAACGCCGAGAATTAACAATTTACTGTACGAGGTAACTGTGAACACTCTAGAATACAATTGGACTTGTTTCCATTCGTGTTGGTACCACGTTTCCTTGGAGACCATATTGACAGAGCCGTAAGGCTTAAAGTGGGAACGTGCACGTGTGCACCGTGCGTATATGTATACCTAATACCCAATTCTAAATAACGTATAGCTAATATAATATAGAAAATGACATTTTATAATTCCATTAGGTAACAATACCTTAGAGAAGTTATTGCTCCCACCTGTGTCTGCATATCTCTTAGAAAGGCAAAAAAGACATACTAATAGAATTATTTTATAATACTTAAAAAAAAACCTGATATATTTTACTTCATCTAGTAATTACAAGTAATGATTCCTCAGCTAAAATACTTAATGGATTCTCATTATATGTGTATGCGTGAAATTAAATTCATGGAAAAATTCATGACCGCTTGGATTTCACACATTATCTCGTTATGCGGTCGAAGATGGTCAGACAGGTCACGTCAGAGCTCCACTTATGCAATGATTTCAAGAATAAAGATTCGGTAGAGTTCTTGCGACATTGGCGAGATGATGAATTTTTACAAAATGATTGCACGCGTAGATTCGGATCCAAGGGAAATTATATATATATTTAAGTTATATATTCACGTATTCACATTCATATATTAACGTATTGACTGCTACACATACATAGCAGTGAATACGTTAATCACTTAAACAATTATAACACAGCTTATTAATTCTGTATTACCATTTCTCTAAACTATTTCTTGTACGAAAAATTAGTAAAGCAGATTTAAGAAGGAAAAAGATGGTTTTACGATTTTTCGTACATTATCGCCAAGCGTCTAATATAATTAAGTAGTTAGTTGATGAGGTCTTGGCTAATCGACTATCAAAGAAAAGAAGTTCTGGGATGAATGGCGCTTCACTAGTAAAGCCGGCTGCAGTTGTAACCCAGTGAGGAGACGTGTAGTATCGCGTGAGAAGTCATGTCACTTATTAATTATTACATTTTTCTGGGACTAATTATTGCCTCAGGTAAAAAGGAAAATATGGTCGTCAATGAGTAACTCTATGCAGCAAATATTTGAATTAGTACTGTACGTGCAATGTCAGTAGAAAAGAAAATATTTAAATTTGCTAATTAATATATTAAGTAATTCACACATAGTGTATGAATGAATATTCAAAATTAATTAGAATACACGCATCCATTTAATGATGCAAGATTAATTTTAATATTACAGGAAATTCGAATCAACAAAACCAGCTTTTCAATGACTTGGAAACTATGATAAAGTCAGTCTTCAAGCTCGTTCGCGAGCCAGCTGTTTTTAATTTGTATACGAGGTACGTAAGGATAGAAATTGGAATATTGGTTTTTAATAATGTGTCAGGTATTTAACAATGACAATCAATTGGCCATATGTGACAGAATCACTGACACTGAAATATGACGGCTTTCCAGCAAACGATATGATTCATTTTAAGAAAACAATTCTTGCATTTTAATACGCATTCATACAGATCACACGGAGACGTCCATAGACGCCTTTAAGACATCGGTGACACATTAGAAAGAGCAATAAGAGATTTCTTATGTCATCGGTCAAGTCATTCCATAATAATCTCTATAAGATGTTAATCATTGTTCAGTTAATTTAATTCAAGCACGTGATATATGTAAGTTAAGGCTACAATATGTACTGTAAAACCGGATGGTAAATTGAATCTCGGGGAAATGATGAAGCTCGCGATTTCATAGCATTACACGATCCAGTAAAATGTTTAGCTTGCTTTTAGGTTCAAGATATTTGTAACCGTAAACGCATTAATTTTTCAAACGATACGTACAATCGGTAATCACAGCGTTCTATTCTCAGCGCTGACGCTTCAGTAAGTATCATGGATGCGTGAATATCGCGGACGCGCCTTCTTCTCTCATTGAATGATAAAATGATGAGAGGGGGGCGGGGGGAGGGGGGAATGAAAGAATTAATAGTAGAATATGTAGAATTCAATAATTAATCTGAACTCATATAATTAATAGTTATTAATTCACCTATAGTTACCAATAGTTATTAATTTTAGTTATACAATTTTTTCTTTTTATTAAATTATACACTGCACTTTACATGCAGGAGAAATAAATATGGAAATTAAATTGAAGGTATTTTACCAAACTTAGAGAAATTATATTACACTTTTCGCAATGTAATTTATACGCAAGTATCTTATATGTATACAGAGAAAATCCATTTGGCGAGGAACAATTGTTTTTACACAATACGGAAGTTTTATACGCGTCGCACTTCAATGAAAGTCGACCGACGAAGTTTATCATACACGGATTTAGCGATACAGGAAGCGAAGCGTGGGTGCGCAATTTAATTGATGGTAAGCTTTTTATATAATTTTAATAATTGTATGAATGTTATTCTGTATGTATTATTATGACTATCCAAAAATTTGTATGGAAGCGTTATAAATAGTTGCGTTATAAATAATTTGTTATTTCAAAAACAAAGACGTAGAAATTTTATGACAATAAGGATCAAATGGATTCGCTAAATACGGAATCGTCTATAACGAGTTCAACGGTCATTGTGATAACAACTCAATTGATGGTTTTATGGTTTCTGCTCTAACGCGCAGTCACTAAGTAAATGATGTAGCGATACTAGCGATCCAGTATGAAATGTCTACCTGGATTTTCAACTTTGTTCTTTTTCTGTTTTAAAGCATATCTACTACATGAGGATGTGAACGTGATAGTGGTTGGATGGGGCCCATTGGCTGCAGAATTATATCCGATAGCAGCAAACAATACGCAACGTGTTGGTGAATTTGTAGGAAGTTTCCTTGAGTTCTTGAACAGGGAATCAAATTTGGAATATAAGGATGTGCATATTAGCGGTCATAGTTTAGGCTCTCATGTAGCAGGCTTCGCTGGCGCATATTTAGAAGGCCGTATAGGCCGAATAACAGGTACAAAGTAATAATGAACTTTAGGAAACGTGACTATATAAATAAAATTTCATCAGGCTTAGATCCAGCGAGTCCTCTTTTCGAAACGATATCCGGTATCGTCGACCCAGACTTTCGGTTGGATCCAACCGACGCTCAATTTGTAGATATTATCCATACAAGTGGACCCGCGTTTGGTTTTCTGGCGCCACTCGGCCATGCTGACTTTTACCCTAATAATGGGAAATTTCCACAACCAGGATGTTCCTTTTGGCCAACAACAAGTATATTTTTTTTGCATCAATAATAATAATAAGAATAATGTATCGTCCTGTTAGAAGATACGTATGGATAAAACATTATTTAAAAAATGTTCTATCAATCTAGCATACTGTAGTCACTCTCGTGCGCATCAATTCATGACTGAAAGTATTGGGAGCACGTCCGGTTTCAAGGCAAGAGCTTGCGAAAATTGGAAGAAATACAAGGAAGGCCGCTGTGATTATAATCCCGTAGTTCTTATGGGAGAATATGCATCTACGTCGTAATATAATTTTCCCATTATATATAACGATACTGCTGTATGTTTAATTATTATACAACAATATTATTTTGGTGTTTCAGTTTACGTGGTAAATTCTACTTGACAACCAACGATGCTCCGCCATTTGCAGTTTAGTCAAACTAGTCACACCGGATGAGTTTGAGTAACCCGACAAAAAGTGATCGTGTTTTGCGACGTAAATTTTCGTGCTAGTCATTTTCTGTAAACTTTATTTATGCGACGATATCCTCGTAATTGTATCTTTCATCTGATATTAAACGAATATACACACTAATTGGGAATCTTACTGATTTATTAGATGAGATTACGTTTTTATTGTTCGTTTATCTTAATACTTGATTACAGAGTAGATGAACAAGTCTATGAAAGACAAGGAATGAAAAGTCACGGAAAAGCCAATGACATACATGTCAAGATGAATGCGTAATAGATAATATCAAATATATAATTTACTTCTTCTTCTTGGACTTCTTGTTGCTAGATTCGGGAATTATTGCACCGGTTAGGTCGGCCAATTGTTTCTTCATTTTGAGCAAAATTTCAACTTGCGGTTGCCAAACGCTTTTTTCCGCTTTGGCCTTCATCTCGCGAACAAGGACTCCCTGTTTTGGATAATTTTATATTAGATTGATACGTTACATTAACGACAATAATCTGTTTACCTGTTTTGCTATAGCTGCTTCCAAATCAGCAGCTCCATTTATTCCATCGCCGTTTTGTTCAAGTACTACTCCTGGTGTACTATTATGTTTTTCTTTTGCCTGGTCACTGGTTTTTCCTGTATTGCTAGTTAAATCAGCCAACTGTTTCTTCAATTGCAATAGAATTTGTACCTGTGGTTGCCACACGCTCTTATCTTGTTTAGCCTTTAACTCTCTGACAAGTAGACCCTAAATTACGGTATTGAAGAAGACAGTTAAAATTGTTTTTGCATGAATAAAAAAAAGATTATGATTACAAACCTGCTTAGCAATAGCTGCCTCTAAAGAAGCAGCGTCGTTGCACTTTTCTATGGTCCCAGAGGAAACTTTTTGTATTGGACATTCTTGTTTCCCACCATACTTTTTCCTCAGCTCCTCAACTTTCTGATCATCTATCTTCGTAAATAATGGACTAGGTTTTCCGATCGTATGACCGGCTGGCAGTATTGTGGTAATAGTGTCCGGAATATATCCATAACTGGATTTATCTAACCCTAACTGGGATCGGACTTCCCTTGATGTATTGGGCATATATGGTGCAAGTAGTGCTGACAGCAATGCTACCAAGTTGCAGCAAATGCCAATGACCGTTCCAGCCTTTTTCCTGGCGATAATGAATAATTAATAAAAATTATGCGTTTGCGGAATATCGCACTATTGATACTCTATAATTTTCTTACTTGTCATCGTCAGTGCCCTTCACCTTTACCCAAGGTTCCTGCGATTGCATATACTGGTTTCCGTGCTTTGAGATTGCAAGTATGTGTCTCAATGCATCTCTCAATTTAGCTTGTTCCAGAGCAGCAACGTATGATGAGAGTTCGCGTTGCGAGAGCGCAAGAACCGTTAGATCATCTTCTTGCGGTTCCATAGGTGGAACTTTCGAAGCAAAGTTTCGTTCCACGAACATCAAAGCACTAATGCATATGAAAAATGTATGCTTTAATATGCAGACACGGTCAAGGAATATTAGTGGACAAATCAATCACTAACCGATTAATAAAATTTCCAAGATTATTTAATAACTCGCTATTGTTCTTCGTAGCTAAATCGACCCAATTAAAGTTCGAATCTTGACTTTCCGGTCTGACATATGCGAGATAAAATCTCCATACATCGGGAAGTATGCCAGTTTCTTTAGCATCTGTACCGAACACGCCAATACCTCTAGACTTTGAGAACTTTGTGTCCTCATAATTTAAATATTCTAAAACATAAAATACATAAGAAATGCATTAGTTAACAAACTTTGAAAACTATATACGCGTAATTTAAGTATAAAATGCATACCAGTAGCCATAATGTGCTTGACTAAAGTATGTCCCTGATCAGCTGCCAGCAGCGAAGCAGGGAACATAACAGAATGGAATGGCACGTTGTCTTTTGCCATAAACTGATACAAACTAACATCTACATATTTAGGTTTCCACCATTGTTCATATTCTTTGGTGTACCTTTTTGTAATACTAACGTAACCCAAAGGTGCATCAAACCAAACGTAAAAAACTTTGTCTCTGTATCCTTCTAATGGTACTGGGATGCCCCATTTCAAATCTCTTGTTATACATCGTGGTTTAAGACCATCACGAAACCATGGTTTAGAAACAGCTCTAGCTACACTGGACCAATTCACCTCAGCAGATTTTGCCCATTCCTGCAATCGTGGTTCAATCTAAAGCGAGAAACAGTTCATTAATAAACTTTATGATTAAATAATCATGGCTGTTGATTTTTAATTTACTGACCTTCGGCAAATCTAAGAAAAATTGTGTCGATACTTTTATCATTGGTTTGCTATTGCACACTTTACATCTGGGATTTATTAACTCGATTGCGTTAACTAGATGACCACATCCGTCACACTGATCTCCACGAGCGTCTGTGTAACTACATCTTGGACAAGTTCCTTCCACAAATCTATCTGCTAGGAATCTTTGACAACTCTCGCAGAGTAATTGATCAACGTTCTCCGTAAATATATAACCTTGTGATTGAATTCGCAAGAAAATCGCTTGTACAATTCTGCAATGATAATATAATAGAATAAATCACATATACAGCAATGAGAATATGTATTGAGCCTCGTCAAACTTATGACCTTTCTTACTCAGTTTGTTCGGGAGTGGTGGTTCTGCCAAAATAATCAAATCCTATACTGAACCAACGATAAATGTCATTGTGTATTCCAAAGAACTTATCACAGATTTCCTGCGGTGTTGTTTTTTCTTCGACGGCTTTAGCCTCTGTTGCTGTTCCATATTCATCGGTACCACTGCAATAATACAATATTTATCAATATTTTGTACCACGTTGTTAACTAAAATAAGGCATAAAAAATATAAGTTTAGTAGTATAATGGTATTAATACCAGATAAAGAGCACATTATAATTTCTTTGGCGACAGTATCTGAAATCAAAAGCATATTAATGATGATAATTGAATCTTTAAGTACACATTATGAAAATGTTCACATACCTGGCAAATATATCTGCTGAAAGTACACAACCAATGATATTTCCCAAATGAGGAACGTTATTAGCATAAGGAAGAGCTGATGTGATCATTATATTTCTTTCGCCTTTAATGGGTAATCTGATTGGAACATTAAGTATTAATTATCAGTGAGAACAGCGCGTACTATCACTTGCATAATCTCATATTTTGCTTACGTACACAGGATAGGGAGGTTCTTTGACTGTAGAATAACATGTTACAATCCAGTTCTTCGCTACATTATTGAGTTCTTCTTCACTGACTGTTTCAATTTCCTGTTCCTTCAACACATTGACCTGAAATTTGCTTTGATCATTCTGATTCATTTTCAATTATCGATATGTTCATTTACATAGAGATAAAATCGCATAGAAGATATGAACTTACAGAATTAATAATATGCCGCACCATAAAAGGTCATGAAGTATAGTTACATTAATAATAATCAGTAAAATCTCAACTGAACTCATTTGTAATAAGAAAACCTTACTTACATCACTGAGTGCAGAGATTGAAGAACTGCTATCTGTATATGAATTAACAGGAAACCAGGAAACAGCTTGAATACTGGCAATAGCCTTTAAACCTTTTTCAATGTTGAATTCTTTTATAGATTCCTATTTGGGAAAAAAAAACTTTAATGTGTGCTATGTATTTAAAATCACATTTTTTTCAGACGTTATCTAAATATTGTAATTACCTGAACTATTGGTATAACTTCAATAGCTTTTAACCATTTATTCACAGTTGGGAACTCTACAGCTATGTCTTTGCTTATATCCAAAGGTGTTATAGTTGACCATAAAGTGATCCAAATAGATAAATCTACTATTGATGGGTTATCCTTATCCTACGTAGACAGTCAAATGTTACATATCATACGTAGCCTTTTTATGTTTTAAAACCAAAAATATTTATATTCGAATTCTAAGTAAATTTATATTTATACATGAGTATACTGATTGAAACTATGTAATTTACTACCTTAATTAAGTACTTCTTGTCTTTTAATGCTGCGTTTAGTTCTTTTAAAAGAGACCAAATCCAAGGTTTATGAGAAGTATCAAGTTTTCCTAAACCTCCATACGAGACCAATGCAGGCTAAGAAAAACATTATTTATATCAATAAATCTACACCATGTGAGAACATTTGTACAGATAACAAATAATCACCTGTAATTGTGAAATATCCCATTCTAACCATTTATTAATATGAATACTGAATTCTTCCCCCATTGGTACAAGAAACTGTACTGCAGCACTTATGCTAAAAATGCGTATACCAGATGGCAACTCAAGTACAGGCAAGCGTCCCAATTCAGCATCTGTATAAATGGCATAAATACATGATTTAAAAAAATTGAATGCATTTATATATCAAATTAAAAGAATTCCTTCTTAATAGATTGAATATAATAACAGAGCTTATAGTTCTGTATAAAATGCATAAATAAAAACTTGATCATAATAAATTGTAAATATCTTTGAAAATATTAATACGATCATAATAAGTTATAGAAATTATTATAAAAAAGAACCCCAAAAATGATTAAAAAGAAGGTTAACTAACTCACAATCCGTGGACACAGTTGTAATAGTGGCATGCTGTTGACCAAGTTTGGCTGCAAGGACAAGCTTCAAAGCATTAGGATTACCATCATTGGTTACAATATTCATTTTTATTAATAACTTATTAAATATCTGCAATAAATAGAAAAATATGTTCACGACACAACGGACACGTGTGAGCAACACGTAGGATACGTATGCGATGCAGAGGTTCTCAACTATTTTCAACTCTTCCTAGACAGCTAGAACAGTATAAATTTCAGGGTTGCAACATAGCGATCATTAATAGAAATCATTGGTAGAAAAAAATCTTCAGTGCTTTACTTTGATTTTCAAAATAAGTATACTTATTTACCAAACAGTAACTCATGTCTAATAACTTTTGTTACGTGAACCTTTTTGAAACTGATGTATATATGTTAACAGGTGTCATTCAAATATTATGGTTACATTGCGTCATGGAGATTCGGACATTCGGGCAAGAAGTTGCGATTACCATTACGTACTTAGAACTTTGAATAATAATATCACTATTTAGGAACTATTCAAGATAAAGGATTCAGATAATTACAGTCTATATTCTTAAAGATTTTAATAGTTAGTTTTTGCTAAATCAGGCGAGTTTAGTTATGTAACTTATCTAGAACTAAGTATAATGGCATTGTTTTGTAAATGATATATTACTGTTTGTTCAAATCGTCTTATCATTTTCATTCATTTTTAATTGTTTGTAATGAAAATAAGTTTAAAAACCCAATAAATGTTCTTTGCCGCTACGGAGTTTTGTATTCTTGTATTATTATATACATATATGTAGAAATAGAAAGGTGCGCCAGCGTTGCTGAATACTGCACATTAAAAATAACAGGCCGGTCTTCCTCGCTTGTTCCGTACCACATTTGACATAAAAGTACTGAAATTCTTCTTGTAGATAGAACGAATACAATAAATTTTGACGTTGAAAATCGGTATGACAATCTGATTGAAAGTGCCGAGTGTCATTACAAGTTAATAACGTAATAATGGGTACCGTTTATGCAAAGGTAAAATTTTAAAATAGACTTATAACCTAGCTATTAGATTCGTTTCTATCCTCAGCGTGACAATATTAACGTAATCTCTAATAATACACCGTAGTTCATTTACACATGTTACGTTTGCTTAAAATATATATGGATTTGGTGTTGACAATCCATTTTATATTCATTCATAACTTTAAATAAATAGTCATGCAATTCAATTATTCAAAAAAGGATATCTAATTTCTTAATACATTTTTACTTTTAAATATATCACATATGATAATATGTAGCTTAATGATGCTAAATATCATATAAGAAAACAGATTCTCTTTATGTGTAATCGTAAAATAATTATAAAGAGAATAATTAGAAAGTAATTTTTATTATTGTGATAAGCTAACTTTTGATAACATTTACTTTTTAGGAGTTTAGTAAGCCCAGAGATTTTGGCACACCATCTAGTGATAACACATCACAGAACAGATCCAATTATCCAAGAGATTATGAACATGTAGGTTTATATTTTTTTTATCTGTACAATGTATTTTGTTAATATTTTTTCAATGGATGGAATATGACTGAGTTTATCTGGGATGAAAAGAAATGTTTCCTTCAGAATGAAAAGTGAGTTTTGTGATGACAGCTGGAGTATTGCATTGAAAATATATTTATTTTGATTTTGTATACATTTTTATAATGGTTTATTACTAATATGTTATATAGAACCATATGTTATCCTGTTCCAGTCAGCATATTTCAATAAAGAGCAAGAAGCTTTATCAAGGAAACCAACAGCGCCAGAAACAAAAACCATAAACTTACAAGAAGTAAAGGTATATGTAAATCAATTAATTAACGATATGACCCATGTACTCCCTTATTTTAAATTGCGTTATGATTTTATAGGCAAGGGTAGATAAGATACACGTGGATGGTTTAATCCGTACAAAAGATGATATTATCAAAGCACAAGTCAGTGAGTTGTTTAAAGCACAAGATTTCCAAGATGTTCTCGCACGAGCACTTAAAGTGCGTGAAAGATTGGAATCCTTGGGATGCTTTAAAAACATAGGTGTATACATTGATACAAGCAATGGTCCTGACGCAACTCCCGAAGGTGTAGAAGTATGTGAGCTTTACTTATTTGTATGAATAATAAAAAGATTTGTTTTGTTGGGAACCTAACTTAGTATACTGTATTTAGGTCACATTCACTGTGCGTGAACTGAAACGTATAATGGGAGGCATCAACACAATGGTAGGAAACAATGAAGGTGCTCTTATAATTGGAGCTAGAGCACCAAATATTTTTGGACGTGGTGAACGATTACAATTCGAATATTCATACGGGAATAAAAAATCTACTAACGTCAATATCTCAGCAGTCAAACCATTTGTAAATGGTTCGCTTCACAAAGTGTAAGTCACTTAATTGTGATTTTTCTATATAATTATTGATATAACAAGTTTGACATACTTCTTATTTCATAAACAGAACTATTTAAATCAATACTGAACTAACTTTCATTTAATTAACACAGATTAACTACAAGTGTGTTCAGCACTGTAAGCGATTTGCCATGGTCCGGTTACAAGCAATCTGAAAATGGATTTCTACTGGACATGGCTATATCACCAGGCGCAACAGGCACGTTAAAACATAACTTCCAATACGAAGCAAACTATCGAGAGGTCACAGCAGGGAAGCAAGTATCATTCCGCGTTCGCGAACAGTGTGGTCCAAGCCTAAAATCTGCCTTAAGACACATTTGTTCAATTGACAAGCGAGATGGAATAATATTTCCAACCGTTGGTTCCCTTGTACGAATCACGACCGAGGTAGCGGGCCTAGGTGGTAATATTGGATTTGTCAAAAACGAGTTTCTCATGCAAAACAACTGGACACCTCATGAATACTTTGTAAGTCAATGTAATTCATTATATAATGTTTGAAAATTATTTTAACAAAAGTTTATAGACTTTCCAGTTAGGTATGCAAGCAGGAATGTTAAGAGGTATTAGCAATGATATGCAAATAAGCATTGTTGACAATTTCTTCCTCGGAGGACCTCTTAATCTCAGAGGTTTTGATATGCGAGGCTGCGGTCCTCGACATGACGGCAATTCTATTGGAGGAGATGTTTACTGGGCACTGGCACTTCATCTTTATACTCCATTGCCATTCAGACCAGGGCGTAACAGCTTTGGTGACCTCTTTAGATTGCATGGATTTATTAATGGTGGCAACTTATCCAATTTCACATTCAAATTCGGTACATATGCTTGATCTCATACATTGTATTAATTCGCACAATTTTATTATAAATCATTCTTATATTACAGACAACGATTTCAAGGAAAATTTAAAGATCTTCTCAGAAAACGTGAGATGTGCCGCTGGCGGCGGTATTGCTATGAAACTCGGTAATGTTGCACGAGTGGAATTAAATTTGATCATGCCATTATATTTTATCAGGAGCGATTTACTTCAACAATTTCAATTCGGCATTGGTTTAGAATATTTGTAGATATGCATCTATTACATCGTGCCTTCTTCTACCATTGAAAATAGTAACTATAATTATGCAATAATTCACTTTCGAATTATTACAGGTAGCATGTAACAGGAGATACGAATCAAAATGTTACTTAAATACTCCTGCCAAATCTTTGTTCTGTTGCCGACATATGTCTGTATAGTATTTAAATAAAAAAAATCTTTAATTATTTGCCTCCTTTTTAAACTTATTCAAGTTACGCTCCAAATGTATGACAATAAACAACACAGTTGTAATATTTGAACGCAAGAATAATCTACAACATACGTGGCTAGCTCTCAAAATAAGGGAATATAAAACACTCGCTGATTAGCGTATAATACAATCAATACGTGACGCGTTTGCAAATATTACTTTGAGTATAATTTATTATTGATATTAGACTCAATGTTCAGATACTGCGCGTTATGATTCATAAAAAATGTATTGCTGTTTGAAATCAAATCATTTTATCCCAATCTCAACACTATTATACCTTTTGTTGTTGAAAGTTGAAAGAACTGGCCTACCTCCGCTTTCGAGAGTCAAGCGTAAGAAAAAGACAAAAAGAAAGAGCTGGAAGAAAAATGTCTAAATGCGTTCGCACGCTGTGACATCAGATTCTAAGAAACGGATGAGTCTGCAGGTCAATAGTGATGCGTTCATCATTCATATGCCCTGAATAAAGTTTTAGCATTGTGATAAACATGATTTTTATAAACTTTGAAATATATCTGCTGTTTCAAAGTGCATTTCCTAAATAGATAATATGATTCGTAATACAGATTAACAATGTTATCGAAAAAACCAATCTCGATAATTCCATACTTATGGAATCTTCGAATACATTTCATCATTTTAATAGAAAGTAACATAGAGAGAATGAAAAACGTTATAAAATCAAAAAAACAAAGCCATGTTAAGATTGTTTTTATTTCAAGTATAATCATTTATGACGGAATTTTCTACCACGTTCTGCAATTGCTGGATTCTTGTCGATGCGCAATAAATTAGCATGAAGGATTCTGCGCTTCCTGAAGGTTCTATTATGTCTGATAAAAATATCAATTTGGTTTTTTCTTCATTTTATTACAAAAATGTCCACTGCATTAGTTCGAAATAAAATTATTAGTTTCTTATTAGAGAGCTTTGTGATATAATACAATATAGTAAATTGTATCGACAATTGTGCATGTTCTAGCGCTTTAACATGCGCAGTAAAGTTTCGATCAAGTTCGACGTCGGAGAAGAACGCAAGCGCCACCTCACGCGTGATTATTTAGCTGATGAAAATGGCCGCTTGAAAGTAATCTACGATACGAGTCTTAACTACAATGTGTTTTTCTACCATGGAATCCTTCGAAATTGCCTGGAATACTGAGCTGAATATTGTTGTCGAGAGTGCTAAATTTATTGGGAACTATTTTTTAAAGGAAAATTGTCAACGAATTACGAGAAAACCATCGTCATACGGTGAAGTTGATCAGTTTAGTGATTGCAATTGTCACGCGTGTGAAGGTTGTCCTTGCTGTAAGTATGGATGGATGGATGGACGGAAGTATGATTGCGTAGCAACTATCGTTCCATTGAGTTGCCTTTTACAGAATGCAATAAAACCAATTTTTGAAAAAATTCCATTGGATTAACAAATTATATTTTATACATGTAACCACTAATCTGTTTTTCTTATCTTTCAACATTTAAGATACTTCAGAATGCCACATTTTCTATATACTAAGTTTTGTTCATTTTTATTAATTGTACTCCCCTTTGTCATCATTTGAAAGAAACTTAAACATGTACGTTTTGGCTACTTAGAGAAATACGTTTTTAAATTGTATGATGTATTATGCATGCCATCAATGGCTTGTAAAAATTCTGAATGAAGAGCGAGCAATGTCATCTCTGTACTTCAATAATAGTGCTGATTTTACATACAATGAGGAATGTATTGGTAAAACATACTAATTTTAAGTTATGAAATTTGTATTTGGTTTTCTTCTCTGTATAAATGTTTATTACTTTTTAATAATTATACTGATGAAACTTTTCCGATCTTACATTTATTTTGTAACAATATCATATTATCTATTCTAATAAAATATTTGATTCATGGATTATATAAACTTTTTTTTTTGTTTTAGCACCACATACAAGAGGCATTACACTTAGAAGAGGTGGTGGAGATATTCCAATTTGCTGAGTCAGGATATGGAGATTGCTTCTAGTTATCCTGTATCTTTGAATTTGCCTACATTGCCATCTACTGCAGTTCATTTGCAGAGTACTCTATCTCAAATTTGGGAAATGTATTCCATACAAGGTTTCGATCCACCATCTAAGTCCTTGATAGAGAAAATGTATTCAACAGACCATCCTCTGAATGTGGATAATAGTCTGTCCAAAATGGAGAGTTCAAAGAGAGAAAATATCTGGCTGTTGTCACAGTTCAGTGCTTTGAAGAATGTTGGAGAACATCTCTCAAAAATGGGTAGTTCTTTTATAAGCAACTCATTATCAGTAACAGTTGTACCAAACAAAATTGTACCTCCTGAATTCTTCAAAACATTAACCGGAAATACAGAACACCTAGCACCAAACAAATTATACAGTCATAGTACGCAGAAAAACGATACACTAATGGTCGATGATATCTACAGTGTACCAATGACTATGAAAATATCTCATACGGATGACACATTTGAAAATAATCTTCAAGAAATCATTATACCTATGGAGGAAAGTAGTAAGGTAACTTCGTGTACGTTGCGAAGCATAAAATCGCACGACGAAGACTTTCTGTCAAATCATAATGCATTAATAGCCAATTGCATTATAACTTCAGCAAATGAAAATTGTGCCTTACCATCTGGACAAACAATTTCGCAAAAGAGTACAAAAAATATTGAAGACACAACAGCAAATAGTGTCAATAACGTTGAGGAGGATATGAAAGGTTCTTTATATGGAAAAAAACTATCTAATGGAAGCGACGCATCTGAAAATAAAGAATTTTACCTAAGGAAGTGCAAGACGACAGAGTCTGAGATGGCACATCAAATCTCAAAAATTTCAGAGGAAACGAGCACGAAAAGCACAGTTCCATGTAATCAGACTAGTATTTCAAATTTGCTTACCAACATGTGGCAGAAAGTTGTCAATGGTGTGACTGATAGATTTTATCTTCGCACAGAGTCCCCGGATTCTGAAATTCCATCTAAAAGACCATACTCTCCAAAACTTCGTGGAAAACCCAGCTTTGTCGCAAGTGGTAGAGGTAGAGGAAGGGCACGATCACAATTGAGACGTTCTGGTGTAAGTCAAACGAGACATCGGCAAGAACGGATACGACAAAATCTTACAGCGGATATCCGCGACGATCTCGATGCGTTTGAAGAAGAGTACGATACATTGACAAATGATGAACTGTCGATTTCTCCAAATGTGGAGGAAGATTTCACAATAATTCCAAATGCAGAAGATACTTTCGTTACCGAACCCCATCCGTATACTATGCATTTTGCGTTAGCCGATCTCAAACCTAGAAAACGAAAGCAAAGAAAATGTAAAATCGTCGATCCGGAATCAACCAAATTCTCCGCTAGAGTCAGATATGTAGCTGAATATTCGATAGATGTCGCTATCTATGATCAAACACAAAATGAAAAAGAATGCGAACATGAAAGTAATGCATTCCGACCGAGATTGATGTCTGAAAGTTCCGTAGACTCTGAGGATAGCTATTGTATTGTCTTTGAAACTGATCAAGATTCAGAATATGATACTGAATATGAATTCGAAGAAAGCAGTGAAGAAGAAGACGACGATGAGGATGAAACATCAATTCAAAAGGTATACAAAACATTAGCAATCGTTTTATCAGAGCTTTTAATTTTACATATAGACCATACACTTGATATCTTACTGAAATATATTAATCTATTTTTTTTATTCTAGGTGAGATTTGACCTAAAACCAAAAGTCCACACGATGATAAAATGGGATTACGCATATCGATCTGCACGTCGAGGTCCTTGGGAACAAATGGCACGAGACAGAGAACGATTTAAAGGCCGCATTAACTGCATAGCACGTGTCCTTGAGCCGATCTTAACAGTTCAGCATAGAAATCATGTTTGGCAGGAGCGCTTTGCTGTCGAAGAATAATTTCCATGCCTTTTTAACATCTGTTAAAATATGGATCATAAAAACAGCACACGAACAATACAGCAATTGTAAAGAAGTTAACGGAGGTACTATGCAACGTTGTAAAAGGAAATATGTCTAATGAAAGTCTTCCAAGTTCGAAATGTAACCCTCCGGATTCAGAATATATCGATTCATCTCATAATCACGAATGGTAGTTGACTAAAATCTATTTGAAATTATTGGAATGAAATATTCGCGTCGGATATGAAAAAAATGTTCCTGAAAATTCATAAACATGCAGGGTGGCTAGGTGTGGTGTTCTCTACATAGTTGACATTATACAAGAGAAGGGCATTGATGTTGCGTGTAATTCTTTACACCAGCATTAATTTTTGGTTTTTATTTTGTTACTAGTATCGATTTGGGAATTAATTTATTTCAATGAATTGCAGAGTTCACTATAACAGTTGACGACTAATGTGGTACAAATGTAATTGTTCCCGTTTGTAATATTAATGTTAGAGATTAAATTGTTATGTAAGGAACAAAATGGAGAGTACAATGTAAACGTACGGCATTGTTGAAAAGAAAAAGGTGCTAATGATGTTGCAATATTTTGTTGCTATTTTCTATTTGTATCTTATTAACGTGATAATTATTAATTCCAAAGATTATAATGCCATTCAATAATGTACCTATGAATTTAGTCACTACATTAGAATTGAGCTTACCTGTTAGTCAAGCTGTTCTGGATTGTTTTCTTTTACTAAACTGTATATATTACATAGTTGTCAAACTACCAATCGATACGGAAGATGTTAATTATACATATTAACTTATTTCGCATACTCGTTTGCATATTTTAATGCTGCCATCGGATTGAGCCTGGAAAAGAGAAACGCACGAGTAATTCTTGGGTATCTATCTGGTCAGTGGCTTTGTGATTCTGTTCGATTCTCGTTGGCCCGCATATGATAGATATTGCATGAGGTTACTTCGAAATCTCGAAAATAAAGCCTGCGTTTTTATAATACTGATAGGAAAAAAAAGATACATTTCGATTAGACCATAATTAGAAAATTCTATAAAGTTTGGTTAATGTGCCTTGTGCAAAGATTATTTCCTTCATGGCCGAATAACGTTGTCTTTTGAAAACTGTGAAGCAGACAGACAGACAGATAAAAACACGGAACACAAACCACAAACATATTCTTTCCTGCAGTGTATTTATATATCAGTGTATGATAAATATAATTATAGTATGTCGATAATGCAACTGTACATAATTCAAAGAAAAAATATATATATTGAATATTCCGGAGTAAAAAATTGTGGCAACGAAAGAGTTTATGCGGAAGACATAGATAATATTTATATTTAGGTAGGTGTAAGTTTAGGTTATTGTTTATGTTGTAATTATACATATATCGCGTGAGATTAACGATGGTTGATGATGAAGATACGCCTAATTTTATGTCAGATATCTTTTAGGTATAATAGCTTTACAAGGAAAGTAAATTGTGATCTAATACAATTGCATTACTATTCATCTTGCTATTAATTCTGCATAAATTCTTTTATCGTCATATTTATAGGTACAGTAATGTGTATTTAGCAGATTATTAATAAATAATATATATTCGGAAGCATAAATCACTTGTACGCTCTTCGTCAATTATTTAATTTGTTACTTTTACAATTTGTTATACATATACCTGCCTACAACAAAAATGTGTACATAGTTTTGAGTTTCCTACATTTCTTCCATTAGATAACATCAACCAGTTGCATGGTGGTTTTAATTACAACTATAGCTTAGACGATTCATTGGATTACACAACCAAGTAAAATTTCCCATGGGCAGCCAACGATTCACAAAATAACCTATGCGGAAATTATGTCAAGGGCAGTACTTATGATTATATGACAAAAGCGCAACGTACGAATTAATTTCTTTGTTACCTACACGACGGTGCACGGAAGTCGTGAGTACCTGTATGTCACGTAACTTAAAGTTATCCGCTTTATGGTAGAAAAAAACGTGAGATTTTCGTGAATTTTGAACTCATTGTCAATGACGATTACGTGTTCACTGTCGAAAAAAAAATTTTTTGTTTCACGCATTAGTTACGATATTTATTCTTTATTTTCGTTGCCGTAATATTTATACACTTATATCAAGTACATTTCACACGATACAAGGTTCAGTCTGCTCTTTACTCAAGGTACGCACCTTGAGGTGTGTTATTCGTAACAATAATTTTTTTCCTCCGAGAAATGATATCCGCAACGACAACATTGTCCTAATGACGACTTGCCGCGCAACCTATAAAACTATTCCAGTGCGTCAATGAGACAACTACCCTGTCTAACAACTATAATTCTCAACGATTACGAAAAGTGAAATAGCCGGTACACCATCACCGGACACTCATTAGTATAGAGAAAATGCGACTCGTTACTAAAGAGTGAAGGCGCGGAGTGAAAAATAAAAGCGCGGTTACGCCATTACATATATCCCAATAAAAAACAATTAATATCCGAGTTAGCTAGTAATTTATCCGTTTCTATTTCTCAAGAACATCATCATGCAATGCATCTGGAGATCCTTACATCAGTCTTAGGTCTTTGACTATTTCAAATAATGATGACTAATTGTTGACTTCCGATAAAAATGAATTACGCAATGCTATACCCATTAACTGTGACAAGACGTGGAATTTATAGTCAATCTTAAACTTATCATTCTATACTAGAGAAACAATTTACTTTTTATTATTGAAAATTACGTAAGCTTAATGCCTAATGGTACAATAGTTTCGTTATTATTTCATGAATTACAATCCTCATACGTAGGGCGAGTCTAAAGTTCTCAGACTACTGACTCACTCTGTATATAAATGTACTGTATATAGGTATATTCAAAGCAAATTCCTTACCGGACGGCTTTCTTCTCGATTGGAAAATTCTAACAGCGACTGAAAATGAGAGTAAGGCCCAATGAACAAGCTAACAGGAAGAGGATGGGCATGGCTCTAATCGAATGAGCTACAGAAGTGGTAGGAATGTCGCAACGCATACTTGCAATTGGAATGTTATGCATGTACACAGAGAAGGTTTATTGACACATTGTAAAAATATGATAAACGCCTAAGTGTACTATCGAGTGAAAAATCCTTATTATATCATCACTTTCTTTAATCATAAATGAAAAGCGAGTGAAAGAAAAATATAGGAATGAGTCATTAGAACATTTTTTTAGTACAAAATCTGATATCATGGGTGCTTGTAAAGATAGTATTAATAGTAGAAGCGAGTATATGTATGCATGGTGTTATTGCCAAATTCTTGGAAATTCATTCATATTACATAGTGAGTGTTTGTTTTTCAATATAAACTGCTCCACAAAAGTGCACTATAGTTTTCACTGTATGACTCATAAATTATATAATGTCAACTGTAGTATGAATCGTTGATGCGCGCGTGCGCAACTGGAACTTTGAAGTCTCCTCTTGCAAAATTTCACTGCTACTTTCTCGCCTAATGTCCGCGGTACCTCGTTCTTCATATAACGGAATGAATTTAAGTCTGACTACATCCTTTTCTTAGAAGATCTTGATATAAATACACAGTAGCAGCTGTCGGTATCTGTTTTCCGTTCTTAAATTCTGTGTACATCCGTCAAGCGACAAGCTGTCTCCTTTTTTTTTCTTAATCACTAACATAATTAGCTTCTCATTAAATTCAACGTTCTGTATACCTTTTCTGATTTATCTATTTTAAAATACATATATCTCGATGTAATGGTTCCTACGTTCTAGTAAGAACTTCGTAACATCTCCGTGGCCTGTGAATGACAGTTACTTATTTTTCTTCCAATTTCACCTCGCAAGTCCTCCATAATGGTAAAACCAAAAAGAGAGTTCGAAAGAAAGAATTGCTCTACAAAGAGAGAACTTTTACGTTCTCACAGGATCATTGGTTTAGATCTGCTTTCACCTTTTCATGTTGAGCTTGATCAGGTCACAAAGGATTCTGAAGATATAAAAATACGAACAATAAACAATGACTTAGACTAATCGATTAATAACAACAATAATTATATTGTTCTGTTACCATTATTATTTGGTATCAATCTTTTTTACGAAACAAGCTGACAGAAACCAGTCGGCCTACTTTGCAAATTCGTGACAAATGCAGAACCTGTATGTCTTCAACATTCACGTGGCCATTACTTGAGTCCAGTATGAATCATACAGGAGGAGATCGCGAGTGTCTATCGATATATATGTATACGAGGAATAGAAATGTACATACTACAGTTTCATTTTCAATAGTTAAATCACGTCTATTCAACGTCCCGCATCATAGAGTACTTACTGATTTTGTTAGATGTGTCACCATCGTTACCGTGCCAGTCATTCTAAAATAATTGTACAGAATTTCGTAAACAACCTGTATCTCCGGTTGCTAAATTTGTATTAGAATCAGTCGAAGGGTATACAACCTCGTCGATATATCGAATATGGATCAGTAAACACATTAGAAATCTTTACAATCACTGTGGCGGAAGGTCACGCTAGTATAGATCAAAGACTTTATTTTTTATTTAAAAAAATGAGCATCGCATGGTAATCGGACGTTCATTCTACTTTCTCATTAGCAACAGAACCGGATTGACTCTTCCACGGACTCTTCTTAAGGATGAAACGATCTGATCCACGAGAGAGAATGTCTGTAAATTTGTTTTTTAATTTTTTATTTTAATCTGACAATCCCTGAATTTATTCCAAGCGCGACATTATTCTTCGCTCAAGGAGATACTCGACTTTTTTTTTTAACGGAAACAACTCACATTGAATTTACCTTTGATTTTTTATATTTGACTTTTAGAATAATTTACAAGACATTTTGTATAATTAATAAATTGAGACAATTTATACCAGCAGAAATTTGAGTGCGGTTCACTGTATTTAGTATCTGTCTGTAACTCATATTGAAGCTCATAGAGAAATTAAGAAACTCGCTAAAAATTAAAATTGACAAGTCATCAAGTGCCTTAGAGATCGATATGATTGGATGTATAGTTTATAATGTGGAATACAAAAACTGCCTACTTTTACGAATGGGCGTTTCTGGTGCAAATTCGAGAGGAGACCTTTACGATACGATGACTGTTTAGCATTTATCAAGAAAGCTGACAGACATTCAGGCGTATGTTAAGATGTGCATGTTGCCTAATCGGCTTCGAATGAATCATACCGTACGGTATATCAATATAAACTAGTTAGTTAAGAAATCAATATTGATATTACACAGGAGTATAAGAATAAGATAAAAATCCATGTTTTTCTAAATTTTCGGAAATTATAGATTTCACCTGTACCTTATATAAGTGATGTCCCTGTGTAACTTTCGCCGTTCTTTCTTTTTCACTTCCATTACATAGAGACTAAATTCATTTTCATGTCACTAAAAGTATTCTGAGAAAATCTTACGTCGACGTGATTCTACGAAATTATATTATCATCCAATTGTGAAATTCATCCACGATAGATTAAAATGTAAACACAATAATTTTTAAAAATGTGTTACTGTAATAAGGTTATCCATCTTGTTATTACATATTATTTTAACTCCTAATAGGTCAATATCAAAAGAATCAACTTTAATCAAAACTTCATTATTGATGCTGAAAGGATTTTTATGTACGACTGTACTTGCACCTATAACAGGAAAACAAGGTTACGCAAAATTCAAGCATAGCAGTTCATAACATTATTTCTTATTATTCCCGTCGGTAACCAGAAGAAAGTGGAGTATAAAAACTATTAGAGTTGGATGGTAACATCGACATCCTAAATTGTATGTACTTCTGTATAAATGCTAACCATCCGTGTTACTATGGGTACGAGAGACTTTAAAAGGAATACAAGAAAGTGTATTGCTGGATTAACAAGTATAAGTTGGAAGTAAAAGGCATTAACCCTCCATCATGAACGTGAGTGCAGAGTGTAACTCTAGGGCGAAAGTAATTTCTGAATGTTATTACTCAGGCGAATAAAACTTTTTATTTAATTTCCTGTTTATCGCATGTTTATGAGGTGATTTGCACCGGTTCATAAGGTCCTAAAAAACAGTTGGACGAACAAACCGATAATCAAAGTATTACTTATTATTATAATAAACTTAACAGAAAGAAATCTTATTAGATTCAAACTTTTCAATTTGTATAGTTTTGTAATCGATATAATATATAGTCGATTAGCGACATCGACCTTGATTTTGACAGATGGAACATAAAGAATTCTCTAGGTACCATACGCTGTTTAGTAACTAAAATTAATATATTTGTTAATTTGCAAGTTTCTGAGAATAAACCAACTGTTTCGTTGTCTAACACCACAGGTTTTTACTTTACGTTCTTTTCCAAAAACGAAAAACGGGAGTTTCTTCTCGAGCTAAACCAAATACAACGACTTTTCATCCCTAAATATACAAAAAAACTAACTAGATCTCCGACAAGATTCAGTCATAAACCCTGGACAAGAACTCCAAAAATATTATTCTTTTAAGGATATTACACTGATCTTTAGTTGATGAACACTAAAATGAAGTATGTACAGCAACGTTAAGGACTGTACATTTACTCATTCTTATCGGTTAACCTCATAAAGATGTTATGTCGCGGAAAGACTATATTACTTGTATTATTGTACCTATTGCTTATTGTAACGTTACCTTTTTTCTATAAACACAATATAGGAGGTAATACGTGACGCTTGTACGATTGTATATGTATACTGACCACTAGCTTGGAGATTCTTTGGAGATCGGCGTTTCGAGAGGTGAGGTCTGGTTGGGTTAGGTTAGGTTAGCTACAGTAGGAAGGCAGGGAAGCCTGTTCGGAGCTCGGCTATAAAATGTCGCCACGGGTATCGCTCCCAACCAGTCTTAATCGGTGAACGGAGGTTCTTTCGGCTCGCTTCGCAGTCCTGTTCTTCTTTCACAGAAAGCAGAAACCATGAAGCTCGTCGCAATAATTGTTCTGATCGCTGCGGTTGTCTACGCCGCTGACGAGAAGAAGGAGGAAGAGCGACCTAAAACCTTCAAGAGGCTCATCCCTGCGGACGTTCTCAGAGGTTTGTTCTGCTTTCTATATCGCAATGATATTACTGGCGTTTGATTGAAGAATTAATTTTGATAAAAATTATTGCGACTTATAACCCACTTTGTTATTTCCGATTTGGGTCTTTGACATTGATATTGTTAACTATTAGCACGATGACTAGTATTCCGTTAATAATTATACGTGGAGATCTCGTAGATATCAAAAATAGGAAACGGGAGTGCCGATTCTGTCACGATCGCGAGAAAGTTCACCGGTATGACTGCCGCTTCTCATCCTTGTTGCTAATACGTGCAATACCTAAGTGAATGTAGCTTGACTTGTACAGTAGTATCTGCAATTTAAATTAGGAGATGGTGTACTCGGGTATAGTTTTTGCAACTCTCGATTAAGTCAAACAAGAGTTTTGTATATTTAATGCACTTTCACGTAATTTCTTTATCGTTCTACATATCTAATCAATATTACGCTACGTGCCACCATGTATAAATTATACGATTTATTAACAATGGATATAACGACGAATAAGAGTGCAGCTTTCATTGTAATTCTATACATGCTTCACACGGCTATTTACATCCATGAGTTCAGTGTAGGCGATTGTCACCATGCGAAAGTAGTCCCTAGTTACTTTGAATGGTATTACTATGCGTTCAAGCCTCCGTCCCCTCCCCTCACCAATACGGGTCGATCTATGATTTTGAACAACACGCGTGGTGATAAATAAGTATACTTAGAGTTAAAAAATTTTGTTTCCTAGAAACTTTCTTCTACATATTCTATGATATACTAATCATATTTTTATTAGAAACCATTTTTTTAAAGTTACTACTTCATGCTGTGGACAAAATTACATGCATTCATGAACATGGAACATACATGTGTCATATGGCTACCACGGCCAGAGACGGCACTGGATTTTCTTTGCAGTCATTCTATTACTGCCAACATTACTGGTAGTAAATATTTCCGTAATATTAATACCGCAATCTCATTATATCAAACGTTTATGCAGCAGTTTGGTGTGTGATTATATCTTATTCTTCTTATTATACAAGAGCAAAAGTATAAATTAAAGCATGACATGCTTTTAGAAGAAATTACTAGTGCGGGCCTCATGAAAGCACGTGTTCCAGGCTAGGGATTTCATAGTTTTCGATCTGTCAAAAAACCACACCGAACTCGTGGACCTACTATAGTAATACGTGCTGTAGTGCGTTTATGATAGAATTTAAATTTAAATAGTTGTACATTTAATGGATTGACCTTCTTCAGAGAATCCTTGTAATTCTAGCTCAAGCCTCAGTCGCCGATCAGTTTCTGATCGCTCTTTTAATTGCATTGGACTAGTTGTCTTGTAATTCTTGTACCAGACCTAGATTCTCGCGAAAAGGCGAACGAGACTGTCTGAAACGGTCTCATTAAATAATTTTAATCAAAGGTAGGCGTAGCGGTTTAAAAATTATTAACTTAATTCCAAGAAGGAAGTCCTTTTCAAGCGTAGTGCATAACCGTTAAGTGAATTTTATTTGCCTGCTTCAACTTTCGTTGCATGTATTCATACGTAAAGTCCGAACCTAGAGTTTTTGGGTAAATTAAAATTCAGATATTCAAATCTATAATTGGCAAGAATGGCGACGAAAACTTTAACGAGTTTGTCCCACTAAGTTGGTATTTCTTAAACGTATTTCTCATTATTCAATGTCAAGAACGCGTTACATATAGGTCATGTTTATCGTGTTGTAGAATTTCAATGATTCTGTACTTCTCAGCAAGATGTCATCTCATTAGTCATTCCAGAACTGTCCGCAGCCCGTAGTCCTCAATATTTTCACAAATAGTTCCTGACCTGTCGTTAACATTAGACGTGTTAAAAAATTCAACGATATCCGCCATCGTATAATTGTATAAATTCGATTAAATACATCATTTACCACTGATTAATTATTGTAGAAAATTATAAGCATATTCCAGTTGCGATTATTCATACTATAGGGTACTAACATTAATATTCAAAGAAAATTCACACCTGCAGATCTTTGTTTAAACGTATCACGACGAAGACGCTGTGTATAGTTTGTGGCGAGACATATGATTCCGATACAGGGTTTACTCGTTACACAAGCCTTCACTGTGTGACAGTGAAAGTGTTTCTCCTTGAGATTTCTAGTGCAACTGCATCGAATTACGCAGTCTGTAGACGAATCTACATACAGTTGAACTTTCTGTGTATGAATCATAACTGTTACAAATACAGTAGCCTCCCGTTAAGTGAACGACTACAGGTTTGTACGGGAGGTGAATTCCGTGAAACGCTGACCTATCGGGTGGCCCTCTTTACACCTAACTATACATATACTGAAAGCGCTGACTTATCGACTATCGATTTAACGGGATGCTACTCTATTATAAAATGCATTCATCCACAACTGACATAATAGAAATTCAATCGGTATGTTGCATAAAGTATATATGACAATAGATATCCTCTAAAGTAGTCATGACATAATACTTTTGATTGACAGTTTAATTAACGACCGGCAAACTTTGTCAAGTACTAGCCACGTGAGATTTGATGTGATTTTAATCGTCATATACTAAGCCCAATAACAAAAACATAATATATGTTTTCTTTTATTACAGATTTCCCAGGAATGTGCTTTGCCTCTACAAAATGCGCCACCTTCGAGCCTGGCAAGTCTTGGGACCTCTCGCCATTCTGCGGACGCTCGACCTGCGTTCTCGGTGATGATAATTCCGGTCGCCTCTTCGAACTGGTCGAGGATTGCGGACCTCTGCCAAAGGCTAACCCCAAGTGCAAGCTGTCTGAAAGTACCAACAAGACCGCCAGCTTCCCCGATTGCTGTCCAATCTTCGAATGCGAGGAAGGCGCTAAGTTGGAATACCCTGAGATTCCAACTTTGGCTACGCCTATCGAAGGGGAGCCTGAAAAGGCTGACGTCTCCACTACTCCAAAAGCTTAAAACTCTTTTACTTTAACCTTCGACCTCGTACCGTATGGCCTCGCTGCGATGCGGCTTCCTAGTTCCTTCTAGAACGTCATCAAAATCATGAAAAAGGAAATACCATTCAAGCAACACTGTTTTCAAGGGGCCTTCGTTCGTGGCAATTTAAATTTGATACAGGATGAGATTCCGTTGTCAATGTTGATGGGAGACCTATGAAATTACAGTGAAGTGAGACAGAAACAGAGTAAGAAGAAGACAGAGACGTGCTAACACGACAAGCACGAGGAGAGGAAAAAGGAAAGAAGTAGGAGATGAGAAAAAGTGGTCCTGATAGATAGACTAGTTTGGCGCTTGTATTGTCAGGGATTATTATTGATAGGTACACGCCATGAGGACGAGGTCGTACTGTATTTCCATTCACCGTTCATGCGATTCGATGCTGTACATGCTCCAGATTTCAATTGGTATACTATATTTATATAAGTTCAGAAGTCGCTCTTACTTTTTTGTAGCGCATGTCTTTTACTGATTAATTAATTCATATACTCTACTGGAACCTCGAGATTCGATACATATAAGAAATCTTTTGTAATATTTTCATAATTTTTTGGTAACTTTTTAAAACCATTTTTGCAATCGTAAATAAGATCGAAAAGTATTTTTTTTATCTCTTACTAGTCGTTGGCTGAAAATAGATATTTTCTTGTGTATCGTCTCTTACTTTTGCTATTTTTTATTGTGAATGATTATACGTATTTTTGAAATATCCAAGGTAATACAAAATCGTTGGAGTTCGAGAACATATCCCTGCGGAGGACATTACCGCGTGTGTACTGTAAACGTGTGTGATTGTAACTAAATGTGATTAAATTAATACTTATTTAATGTACAGAATTTTTCATGTCCTTATTCGATTCGACTCCCTTCCTTCATCCTTCCTTCTCATTTTCACAAGAAGCAGAATACCATGAAGACTGGTTTTTTTTCTGGAATTTCCAATCTCGATCCGATGCCACTAGTACAATCTTGTTACGGTCTACGAAACAATACTTTTACTGTTTTCCTGGGAAAAACCGTGTCCCAGAAAAAAATAACAGATTCTATTCAGGTCCGGTTTATACATAATAGCCGTTGAAAATATCAAAGAACACATTTAAAAAAGGACGAAATTTACCAGTACAAAGTCTAAGAAACTCGTACACTGTTTTTAGTATATACAGAAAGCACTATAGTGCCAAAAACTTTAATTACGAAAAATTGTGATAATAAATGCTCTTAAAACATTTGTGCTGTAATTTTTAGGACGAGTCAATACATTAAGCGACATAAGAAGACAGTTTGTGTATAGTGACAAAAGAGTTAATTTAGCAATGTTCTAAGTGGAAAAATACGCACAGTCTATTCTCGGAATAATTATATAGTGAATACAAGGTCCTTGGCACGACATTGTACATATCATAGACATATTAAAATAATAAAAAAAAATTACTTCAAGCATGAAAGTGTAAATCGTTCATACCAATATCAAGCTGAAAAAGAAGTCAGGGCCATGGTCGCGCGCCAATGCTCTCAGGAAAGCCTGGAAATTGCACAATAAACCACTCGATTCATCTAATATTGTTTCCCTTTCCAATGAAATGAAAAATTTCTTAATGCGCATTCGCCTGTGATACCGGATCGCACGCGGAAATATGCAATTCGTTCTGTCTGACTGAATTCACACATTATCACAGGATGACAATTACACTGGGGTTACTATTGTTAACGCAACATGTCCTACTGTTGAAATTCACGCATGAAATACGTGCTAATGTTCAATCGGCATGCACCGAGAAGAAAATTATATACATATTATAGACAGGCAGTATATTAATGCATTATGAAAATTCCTATTGAATCTGGAAACAGTGACATCGTAACAGCCAATGTTAACAAATATGCATTGACTATGTATTAAAGATAAATGATAACTTTTAAATTTATTATTGCTTTTCAATACGCAACGCCTAAGAGTAACAAACTCGTTGAGAGATAAGCCGATGCAGATGCAAATTTTCAGCCTTGAGAATAAATTGTTCTATCATTGTACGTGGAATACTTTATGTTTTGCATCCGTGACTATAGAAATGTCAAAGGAATATGTCGAAGGAGAGATTGGACGATATTTTATCAATAAAATCACTAACTTCAGTGCTCACAATCCGCGACGAAATATCTGGACGTCCAGCAAAAAATTATTTCCGTCATGCGAAGGCCAACTGGAAAAAAAAGGAACTATATAAAATTCTGTGGACGAGTAATTTTTAAAGAAGGATCTTTGCTTCTTCAATGTCGATTATGCTTGGCTTCATATTGTCAAGTGCAAAATTGCACAATTATCCCTTGTTATACATATGTATATAGAGGTAAGAGATATCGCTTAAGAAAAAACTAAGTATTCCATTTTTATAAGGTTTGCAAGCGTGATGTAAAATTTCGTGTAATCGACAAAGCAATGCTTTTTAGTTAGTTATCGAGAGGTCTTTGCTTCCTGGAGTGATGACCATCAGGTAAGGTTTTTTTCTCATTATCTACAAAGAATTGGTAACGCCGTTCAAATTTATTCTTCTTTTTTCGCTAGGTCCAACAACAAGGTAAAGAAAATTATTTCCTACCAAAGATTTTTGCTTACGTTAGTCACGCTCTTGGTTTTACCACAACAATTATCTTTCACAGTAGACTTCTGTGAATTGAATGAAATTCATTATCATGACACGATGGTCATATTTAAATTCATATGAACGGTCGTATTGAATGTGCATAATAGGTATGTGAAATTTTTTTTTCAGAAACACTTATCGATTACCCCTATTGTTGGAAGAGAATTTATATAATTTTTAATATTATGTTTTACGAATTATTTTATGTTCATATCTTTAGCAGGATTAAAAAGGAATACGTGCGAAGCCATTTACTCATCGGTTATTTACTGCAAAATACAGCAGCAGATACTTTCTTGTGAAAGTGTTTTACATCGATATAGTCATTCTGCTCGAGAATATTCTAGATGGTGAGAATGAGGGCATACTGTGAGTGGGAGTCATCCTACAGTCTAGACTGTAATATACAAGTATTACACGTATATGCATATTATGTAGGCTGGAACGTATACACTTCTATAGAATTGTGAGTATATGGTAGTAAGAGAAGGGACTGAATCAGAAGCAGATAGATAGAGAGAGAAAGGAGGAGTATATGGCAAGTGAAAACGTCTTGTCTGCCTAACTAAGAAGTTAAGGAATATTCCATAACGATTGGTAAAGTATTTTTAAAGATTGAAATATTATATTGGCTTGACGTTCTTTAGCGCCTTTTTTTACTATCCTTAATTAGAAGTTCCAAGTCGTCTTTGACTTTAACCAGTACGAGTATAACTGGAGTTAATAATTTAATAACAGTTTCTTGCTATAAAATTCTTGTTTTTACATTTGGATTATAAAGTTTCTTTTATGGTAGTGCTAGATCAGCTCGTTAAGTGTAACAATTATGAGAACAATCATATAAAAAAAAGAATGTCAGTTTTTATAGGTTATCTAACCTGTCATCGTTAAACGTTATTTCTCTTTTCTTTACTGACCACACCTCTTTGTTACCCATAATGCTACCAATGTAATGACTCTTTATTTGGCCACATCAAGCTGTCTGACCATTTGAGTTATGAACGCTTAACCGGAACTTTATTCCAGTTTTAATTATTTTAGTTCCTTCCGCTTTTTAAAATGAATCTATGAACAAAGGTTTTCCAATAATGTAAACATTAGTATTGCACGAAAATTGCTTTACTAGAATTGCAGTTTTGATAAATTAAGTGGAAATTAAAATAGGACTTAGAAAATTAAGAAGGGCGTAATCATTGTTTTAAGTACGTATATATAAATCTTTGTATATTCTAAATGTAATACACATAGTTAGGATTTCTGCCAAACAGCTAGATGAACTTGACAGTTGAGCTTACCTTGTACTACTTTTAATCATCAAAAAATTGATGAATATGTGAATATATTTAATTTCGATTTTATCGATGTAGTTTCATTAACTAATTTTCTCAATATAAGAAATTGTTATTCGGATATTAAAATTAGTTGCAGCATATATTTGTATAATCGTTAATATCGTCTGCCTGTTAGCGAGACAGAGGTCAGGCTAATAATAAACTAAACAAAAATAGGACTAACCGCCAATTACCGAACCGATATTAAAGAGAGGACAGGTCTCTGAAGTTCGTACAAATGGCGAGCCACGATCTTGAAGAAAAAGTGATCGCTTTATATGGGGAAGACAAATGGAAAGAAATAATAAATTTAAAAAATGTTAAGGACACATTTGAAAAGTATAGATTATTGTGGGTGTGGCCAAGTTTGGATGATTTACAGTGGATAAAAGATATAATTGATGGTTTACAATTACATGGAATTATAAGCATTGGTTGTGGCAGTGGACTATTAGAATGGTTAATTCAAAAACATTCCGGTATGTATACAGTACAGATAAGAAATTAATAGTAAACTATTTAATTCGTGATACTGCCAAAGTGTATGTAGACAGATTTAAATTTTCTATACACTTCACGTATGAAATCTTTGAGTATTTAATTATTTATTCTATGTCTGTTTATTGCGTATGAAAGGTATCGATGTCGTTGGAATAGAAGTGGATCACGCTTGGTGGACCTGTGGTTACTCGCCGCCATTGTTCTTAAAGAAGGTCATCTTCATTGATGAGGATAACAATAATGTGGAAATACCAAAAAGCCATGCACTCTTATTTTGCTACTTCAATAATGCGCCTGCATTTCTTAACTATATCATGAATTACAGCGGAAGTACAGTTCTTGTGATTGGACCTGGCGAGGGACGTGGTTCTCATACTGATCCTACGCCATTTGATAAAAAGTTTTCTGATCTCGGTTGGCAGTTGTACAAATTTCGTGAAATTGGAAATACAAAGGATTATATAGCCGTTTACACCAGATAACGCTAATTACTCTTTTATATTTAATTTACATACTGTATAAAATTTAGCTAGAAAATGTGGAAGCCAAAGATACAAATTATCTGTAAAAGTGAACATTATAAAATGTATATATGTAGATCGTAAATAATATATGTACACAATAAAATATAATTTTTTGGAACGATTTCGAAGGCTCTCCCAGGGCGCATATCAATAAATGCACATATATCCGTGGAAGGTATGTTTTACCGGAATTTATGACTATATTAATTCTCATAAATATGTATATGTATCATTAAGTGTAATGTCAAGGTATTGGTACCGAATTAGTTGTTATAGGAGAGTCTGATTTCTCCGATGTTTTCGAAGTATTCTGTTCATGTTTAGCCATGTGGGTATATAAATTTTCCTTCTTAACTGATCTGTACGAACAATATTGGCAGGAAAACATTAATCCATGGTCCAAACCTGCAACGATAATATATAGTACGGTACAAAGTAGTGTAATAAAAAATTGTGTGTTCTAATGAACATAAAAGAAAAGTTTTGTAGCAAAATGAAAATTGATGTGAATATGATCAGACCTACCTGGATGTTTATTCTTAAGATGAACTTTATACGTAGAAGATTGTATACAGGCGTAACTGCAATACGGGCAGCTATAAGGTTTTAATCCTAAGTGTCGTAATTTATGCCTTCTTAAAGAATTATGGTCACCCGTTGAGTAACTACATTGCTCGCATGAAAATGGTTTTTCTCCTAGTAAGATTGTCAACATACGTAATATTTACCTTTGTCTTTCTTTTAAAACCAATTATCTGAATATATGATACACACCTGTATGCCGCCTAAGATGTAACTTTAGTGCGCTTCTAGTGGATGCGGAGTAAGTGCAGAAATTGCACATGAATGGTTTACAATCTTTGTGCACTGCGTCTTTATGCAATTTTAGTAATCTTGTGTTTGTGAAGACCCGTCTGCATTCTTCGCACTCTAACGGTTCCTTGTTTTTAGCTCTGTGCAGGGCGCGATGATTTCGTAATTGTTTTGTTGTTTTAAAACCTGCATACAAAATAATATATTTGTTCATAAATAAACCATGTAAACAAGTTCTATACATATGTAATATAAACAAAGAAATACCTTTCCCACAGTTATCACACAGGTAAGGCCTATCATCTCCATGAATACCACGGTGTTGATTCATCAGATTGCTTAAACTAATTTATAAAAACCATGTAAGATTGTACCACAATAAAATACAATCGTTCGGTATTACAAAAAAAGTACCTAGGTGTTTTATAACTGCACAAATCACAAGCGTGTAGTTCCATGTCGATAATATGTGACCTCCATAAGTGGCCAGCCACGTTATTCCAATTATTAGATTTAAATTCTAAGCACTCGGGGCATTGATAATTCATATTACTCTTATCAGTCGTTATTACCGCATGGCATTTCTGATGAAAAACAATATTTTCCTGAGCAAGCATACGCACGCCACACTCTGGGATGGCGCATCTGTACAAGTACATATACAGTAATTAAATATAGTGCCAATATACATATACAATAAAACAATGAATAGCAACATATACATACTTGTAGCCAAGTTGTTTTAATTCCGCTGAATTTTGTTTATTCGAATTAGTCTTAGATCCTTTGGGTCTGCCTTTTTTCTTCGGTTCTACTGCCCTAATGTTTCCTTCAGTTTTTTCTAAATCGACTTCATTTTCTGATATATGAGTAAACGTCGTGTCTTCAATATGCAGAGAACGATTTATCATAGTGTTCTCTTGCACAGATTGAGATTTTTCCTGGATTTGGGATTCATTTTTGAAGTCCACACATTCCACGTTTCTTATGCCTTGCTTTAATTCACGTAAAGCTATGGTTTTGGATCGATCTTGTCCTTGTGATTCTCCATCCTTTACATGTATTCCTTCCTCGTATGCTTTATCTGATATCGTTCTGACATCGCTGAGAATCGGTATAGATTGTAATCTGTCCACTTCAATATTATCCGCTAATACAATTTGCATGTTATTTATATTTTGCAGATATTGCACTTCATTATTATTAACTAATAAATTGTTTTCTAACGTGGGCACGGTTGTGTTAGCATTATCGATGGGCAAATCGGATTCTGGAATATTGTCAAAACATTGATCAATTTCTAAATTAGAACTGGAGATTTGTCTTTGCAAAATGCTCTCGTTTTGTGATTTTCTTATCGGAACAGTTATTTCGGGCGCTGATTTTGTATTATCATTTTCATCAATGGATTTTTCTCGGTAGCACAATTTCTCTATCATCACTTGAGCCTCAGTTTCTTGTACCTATAATATGATAAAATACAAAAAGGGAGTTTGTTAAAATGATATTATTTTTAATATGAGAAATATTAATTAACAATCCGTATGTTATGATTTTTATACGTACTTGATGATCATGCACAATATGCGAGAGTAAGGACGTCCGAGCATGAAAGGTATTTGTGCAACCAGGACATTTCAGTACCAATTGTTCATGTTGCTCAACAATGTTCGAATGATCCTTTACCATATGCTCCATAACAAGTTTGTCGTTTAAACTTATGAATGGACACTTTTTACACTTGTAGCATTGAAGATTATCATTGCACCTTTCAATTAGCTGTAATAAACATAGTATTGAAAGCGATTTGTTCATATAAACTATGATTAAGATCAGATTTTGCATTCTTTTTACTATTTTGGATCATTTAGCAATTTTGAGTGCGTGCATTGATTTTTAAATTGTAAACGGGCTGAAGCATATATATCCATACGTTTTATCATGCTCTTTTTAAAATATAATATTCGAAAATTGTTGAATAAAAATTAAACATACCTGATTACATGGCAGCAAATTATTCGTGCATTTAATCCCGTCGTATTCTCGATTATCTTTCGTATAATTTACAGTTTCGTGTAGATTAAATTCCTTGCTTTGAGTTTGCATATCAATCAGCTTCAACACAGAGTCAATCTGGCTGCTACTAATGGCTGGAAATTCTTCGGTTTTCAAAATAAGTTCGTTTTTGGATTCGTAGATATTTCTCGTCGCGTCGGTATTTATAATTTTCAACTCGTCGCTATAAGCTTCGTTCGATTTGGCCTGGGACGTGTGATCGGATACTTTCCCTTCATGTTTCACGCATTGAATATTTATCGGTAATATTTTATTAAAACTCTGGCAGAATAAATGTTTCGATCTCGGATCATTGCCTTTTACCGCGGGTGACAGTAATTGTTGCATTATAACAACTGGTTTTTGCGATTTTGGCTTCACTAAATTTGTCTGTTTAGACGTTTGATTGGAATTCAGATTTTCTATTAATTTTGTGCTATTGGGTTTTTGCAATTCCTTATTAACATTAGTATTATTCATCACGGAGTTTTGAATAGGCAATAGCGTAGTAGGATTTACGTCACAACTCAAAGTTCCCAAATTGTTGATCATAGAAACGTCATTAGAATGTTTTAGAGTAATATCCGTCTCCATTGGTATGTCGTTGGAATCAATTAAATTTATTCTATCAGAGATATTGCATTGGCGTTGAATAATATTATGAACGCTACGTGTATTCTTTTTAACCGTGGACAATTCTTGCAGATAGTCCTTTGATTTGGATATTACTTTATCATTCATATCATTACTGATAATAGTATTGGATGTATCCAGATTTTGATTTTGAACTATTACAAATCGTATTCCGTCATCTTTGGTTGCGAGTTTTAGACGTTTTGCACCATCGCCATTGCTAATCGACTCGAAAGACCTCGTATTAAATCTTTCACCAGTATAATATTGATCCAAATTTGAAACTAATTTATTACTACTGCTATTATTACTAGTGATTTGATTCTCTCTTGAAGTAATAGCAATAAAACTCGGCTCTGTCTTAATAATTATTCCCTGATTCAAATCGAAATTTTGGATATTCTTTGGTGAATTCGTTTTTGGTGCAATTGCTACAGGGCGCATTGGTGTCAAAGTTCTACGGCGTTTTTGGCCAGCACTTTGCCTTCCAGCGATTTCTTCACTTTTTACAGTTTCGGAAATTATTTCCTCTTGGCTGTCTCCCATGATACTTGGTATTCCGATCGATTATCTGTTAAATAAATTAAACGTATCATTATAATATTTATAATATACATAAGTATATTTGGTATTTTTAAATATTCGGCTATCTGATATATTCGAAGAACCGATGTGATAACATTACGAACATATGAGATAACCCGAGTGACGATTTAATTGGTTAATTAATTTACGATATTGATTGTGTCTGATATGAAGTTGTATTTGCGATTTTTGTTTATGTTGGTTCTATTATACGATTTTAATTTTCCCGCGCTGACTGTGAGAATGACGTAATGTCATGCTACAAGTGCAGTTAATATTTGTCGTTTTATTCCAACAATAAAGGCTCTCGGTATTTAGTACAAAATAAAAACTGTCAACAATACGATCGCTAAGCGTATGAAATGTGTCAACGCTGCAATGAGTGCATTATTGAAAGAAAATAATAAATATAGTAAATGGAGCATCGCCATTGAAACAAAATTACCTTTTTCGGCCCGTAAAGAGGCTACACTATCGAAATAATTTATATGAGAAAAGTTCAATTCTCTCAATGAGAATATAATAAGAAAATCAATCAGAAATTCTATGGAGACTTACCCCAATTCATGTACAATTACAATTCGCATAGGCGTCACGAAATATCAAAGTAAGTCGAATATATTATACACGTCCCAAACGCCATGTTGAAATTCTAGAGGCCTGGCATAAGGCACACGCAGAGAACTATTGTGCTCTATGGCGGCCAAATCGAATTATCACGCTTTAAGAACATGATACTGAATTATTATTCGTAATAAAAATGTATACAACCAGCAAAAATTCAAAATGAATAGTTTTTATGTAATCAGTTCATCCGAAAATAAAATGATCAGATTATTGTACAACGTTATGTAGCAGTATGTCCATTGCAGCATACACTATTTCTTTGAATTATAAAACCTGTACATTTTTCAAATTCACAATACTTCTACTTCTTATAAGTGGGCTTATCGCTGAGGTAATAGAAAAATTTATTTTTGAATATAATTTGTTTCATATTTTTACTAGAAATTACAAATTTCTCAAATTATAGTCTTTGTAGTAAGAGTATAGTATAATAAAATAATTAACAGTATAAATAATTTATGAATACAACTAATCTTATTTCTATGTAAGGCATATGAGTTATTTATCATTAATATTCGTTTTGATAAAATAGTACATGTGCAACCCAACCATAAATAATACTACCGTTCGTCATATTATTTGTAACTTTCCTGGGCATGTTGCAGGGCTGATTTTGTAAAAAAATATTAACTTCGTTACTCCTTCGTCAACAATGTCTTTAAATAGAAATATCTTGCATAGAAAAATGTATATCATCCGATGAAACGTTCAATAGAATTCGCTGAGTGATATCTGCTCTAGAGTGCTCACATATCAGTAATCTATAGGCACCAAGTCTTGCACAAATTCCCAGCGATTCTGTTATACTAGGTGTTTTAACCCCTGATAAAAAAATAAAAAAATTTACTTATTACACATGTTTATGAAAAAGTTATTATCACTAACTTATCTTTTTATTGTCATGTATAAATAATGCAATGCTAACCATCAAACGAACATAATGCTTCAAACTGCTTAAAAACATTTTTAAATATGGCTTCCTCGATCCCTGTTCTTGCTATTTCAGCACTAACGGCTTGTAAAAATGTTCTTTCCATTTCCGAACAATGTCTAATAGCCTGAACCTTAGCACTAGCGATCATTTCAGTTAAGGCTTCATTAACATCTTGCATTGACACAGTTCCAGCGTCATGAGATTCAGCAATTTCTGTTGCACGCCGACAAATATCTAAAGCTCGTCGAGCATCTCCGGATACCGCTGCTACTTTTCTGTGAAAATCAAAATCAAATTTTACGATATAATTTCAGCTACGGTTGTTTTTAATCAACTGTGTTTATTACTACTCCTTTTATTTACCTTGCTACTAATTGTATAGCTTCGCTTCTGAAGGCATTAGAATCTTTTAGTCGAGTAATTACAATTTCCTGTAACTGTTTATGATTATAAGGCTGAAAAGTTAATCTTGTAAGACCCAATCTAGAAGTGACACGTCCCATTAAAACTCTTTCTGGAAGATCCATAGTGTTGGCTATTGTTATTACAACTAATTGGGCGTTTAACTTTGTAGGCCAATCTAATAAATTGTACACGACGTCTTGGCGTTTATTACATAATAAATCAAGCTCATCCACAAGCAGCAACGTCATACATTTTTTTGAAGTAGGACGGATAAACTGCTTTTCAAGTAACTGATATGCTTGCTCCCATGTAGCGGTACGGTTCGTTAGTTGTTTTAATATATGAACATAAGCTTGCCTTGGCTCAGTCAATTTCATCCCGTTAATTTCAATAAATTTAAAATCATTCAATTCATGCTTGGATACCAATTTCTTTAAACACCTTATTACCTCGTTCACTGTTGCAGTTTTACCTGTGCCAGGTACACCGCTTATATACATGCATCTGAAATAATAATCAAAATATTACATAAAATGCATGGCACTGGTTTCAGTTATATGTATATGCAGTAGCATGTAGGATTATGAATTGGATTATCTCGTATAATGACTGTCAACCTACCCTCCACTGTTATCCAATAACTTTCTCTCAAGAAATGTGTAAATGTTATTGAACTCCTCTTCTCTGCAAGGTAGGGATTTCGGTACTGCACTAACGTGTAATCGAGCTCTAGCTTCTTCAAGGGCTGTGGTTGGTTTTAAGAGTACTGCATTTCGTTGATGCATCGATGGAGTTAGATTTCTGTGTTTTATGCTTGAAGGTGTATGAGATTTTGCAGCAGTTTTTGTGCTTCGTTTCGGAGTCGAAAAACCTGGTTCTTCTTTAGTTCTTGATGCAACATTCCTTCGACGAGGTGTGGATGCTTCCGTAACATCTAATAGTTTTGTACTTTTCCTTGGCGTTTTGTGTGCTTCAGTATTGCTCATAGTCATTTTTATATCCGGTTGTACTTCGTTACTAATTAAAGAATGTTGAGCTTGTGTTTCATTCTCTCTTAATATTTCAGTGGAATTTTGTCTAGTTGTCCTGTGAGTGGCTGCAACATTCTTAGTTGCAATTGTTGCTCTCTCAGGAGTTTTCGTAGAAATTTGGTCAAATATCATACTGTTAGAACTTTCGGAATCGCTTTCTTCTTTTTTAACTTCACGTTTTGTAGGGGTGCTTACTTTTGTTGTATTTTTTAATGGCGAAGAAGCGGTAGTTTCCTGATTTATGAAATTTTTTGGTATTAAACTTCTGGTGCGTCTAGTTGTTCTTGGTGTGACAGCCGTATTTTGTTGCGAATATGTTTTTGAAGGTGTGCCGCGTGTATTTACAATAATGTGGTTGTTAAATAAATTATGTTCATTATAATTTATGGACTTCCTGGTTCTCAATTTTGATGTATGTATTGTCGGCGTCTCATCTGCATCTGTTTTGTAGTCGGTGTATCTTGTTGAAGGAGTTCGAACTCTCCTCGACTTTCGTACTTCTGTCTGATCAACATGAACTTCTAAAGACTTTTTAATTTCATTTTTATCACTGACATTTACATTTCCTTCTACGTTTGTTTTAATTTTTATAGCAGGTGTTGTCGATTTCTTTAGGCTTGCTTTTACAATGTTTCTTGGAGTACTTACTACAGTTTTTCGGCTGCAAGTTTCATAATCCAAATCCGAATCCGAATCAATTTTATAGTGACTTTGTTCAGTGGATCTTCTCAATTTTATCTTTAATGATGCATCTTCGCGTTTTTTCTCTAGTTTCTTTAGCAAAACCTCTGAACTGATGCAACCTTCAGTATCCAAAGAATCTGATAAATTTCGCCTTGCTTTTTTTGGAGAGAACTCCTTTGCTACGGTTACTTCACGATTCTTTGGTGTATCTAGTTTATTTTTTGGAGTACTTAATAATTCTAATTCTTCTACGCAATTACTCTTCGACATAGCTACAATTTTTGCACCCACATCTTTTATTTTCGTAAATATATTATCTGAATCACTATCAGAATTCAATAAATTTGATATGTCTAGTTCATTACATTTCTTTGATCTCCTATGTACTTCAATATTTAAAGGCTTTTTAATAACCAGAGATTGACCATTGTTTTCATAAAGTTTGTACGTTGCCGGTGGTCCTAGTACAAATAAATGATGGAAAATTACTTATTTTGTTATTGTTTGATAGATTATAATAATAAAAGGACAAATATATATATATTTTTTAATTTATGTTCCTTTGGAAAATATAATAAAATATTTGCTATATTCAATATACAAAAATAGTATACCTATATCCCTACCTTCGTATGAAATCTCCGGTGATACACTTCGACTTCTAGGTTCTAAACTTTCTTCACTTGTACTTCTTGTCACTCTTTTCCTCTTTTTTGGTGAAAGTTGCTCTGCTGAAATATCAGTTTTAATGTGAGATATATCTCTTGTATTATAAGTCTGCATTATTTCACAATTTTATGAAGGATTTCACACATGAAGCATAATAAAAAGTTACAGATTATAAAGAACAAAACAAGTATCTATTACCTTCTCCATATTTACTTTCATTTGTTTCAGAATTTTTATTTCTCAGTACATTAGTATGATTACTTTTCAAAGGTGTTCCTTTAGTTGATGTTCTAGTACGTATACGTCGTTTAGAGTTTTCAGAGTCAGAAACTGAATTTTCTTCAGATTCTACACTGGAATTTTCAGAAGTTGAAGATTCCTTACGGCGATTTGTTGTGTTAGACATTTTTCTCGTATTAATGATATTCATGGGGTCCGATATAAAATCTGTTTCGAGTTATCAAGATAAAACTATAAACAGATCCCACATTTCTTCTTCATTAAGTCAACTCAATAAACTTGCAACCTAATACAACTCTCATACATGCCAATCAAGACGTATTTACGCGGGAATTGGCGGGAACAACTGGGAATAACTCCATATCTTATGATCAGCTGTTTTATAGATAGGCAAGTCGTATGTCAAGAAAAGTTTAGTCCATTGGGATTGGTGGTTAATTATGTGGACAAGTTCAAAATATAATGTAGGAAAAGGACCTATTTGTGAATAAACCTTAAGTTGTAGTAAGAAGATACTGTTCTTTTTCTTCGAGCGCGATTATTACAAATGTTTAATATTCCAAAATAACAGAACAAAGGTAAGAAATTAAAATGTTGCAAAATTATTGTATATTAAAGATAAAAATGAGGTATAGGTATAAAAAAAGACAATTATTTTCTAATCGCTAATAAAACAGTGAACCTATCGTCGTTAAAACATTTAAGTATTCAATTAAAAACTATTCTTACATTTGAATGTTCGTTGATGTTAACTGTAAAGTTCTAGATTAGTGAAAATAAAGGTGTTGATAAAAACAAAGGTTTTCTCCTTCTTTGAATTTTATTATTGCTTTTATATTGTTATTAGGTTGTAATGATGGTTTTACAAGATTCTTACTAAGATAACATTAAGATGGACGTGAACATTAGAAATTAATATCTGTTTAGGCAAAATATTTTCTTTTTGTCTTTTCTAGAGATATGAATTACCGATATATATATATTAAGGAAGATTATTTTAAAGAAGTCCTTGTCGTTTTAGATCCTCGTAGGTCTTTCGATTTACAACATTACCAAGTGAATCCTCAAATTCTTCTTCTTGTTCAGGTTGCCAGCGTTCCGCTTGTTTTTGTGCTTTTAATTTCTCCCACAAAGCAAGAGCATCTTCGATTTGTGTAACATTAGCAAAATGTGCTGTATTCGGAATGCCTAAACAACGCATACCGTGTGCGTGTCGCCATTCTGCAAAGTGTCTTTGAAAGGCCTTTGGTCCTTTATATGTAAAGTTTCCACAGATTTCACAATTGTAACTAATGTTCAGTCCATGCAGCTTATACAACCAATAGGGAATGGGTTTACCATCCCAACCAAGTGGTAAATTTTTTGGATTATATGGAACTTCGTTATCATCTTCTTCTTCAGATTCACTTGCACTAGCTTCAGCATCAGAGTCTCCACGCTCACCTTCTGTTCGTGCCTGTTTCCTCTGTACATTTTCTTTCGTTGCCACACGTTGTGTGGATACAAGTTCAGCAAGTCTGTATACTTGTGCTTCAAGCATTGCTATCTCTTTTTGTTTTTCAGTATCTTTACCTTTGCCGAAGTTTCTGTGTTTATTTTTTGCTAATAAGTTTGGATCGAGTGAAGCTTCACCCTTTGTACTGAAGAGTCTTTGTGCACGTTCTTCAAGTGTACCACCACATTTTAAGCCAAGTGCCATCAATGCAGACTTTAATCTATCTAATCCAAGAGATGCTAGCTCCTCCCAGGAAGAAAATGCTGACAATTCAAGATGAGCTCCAACATTAGTCAAAGCACTCCCTGTTTCCTTTGGCCATCCAGGAAATGAATTAGTTTCCCACTGTACTTCAAAATCTTTAACAGCCTCTTCAATTTCTGAATTTAAATCATGCAAAGGTCTAACTCTGGTCAAATAATCTGTCAAGTAGTCCAGCAGTAATTCTATGTAAGCACGATAATCTGCATTTTTGCGCTCTCTAGGAATGTCAAATAAATGATCAAACGTTGATAAATATGTAATATAATCAATTTTTTCAATCCCTTTGAGATTAATATATTTTTCATAGCATCCATGAAGATCAAGATATTTTCCATATCCTTCTTCATCTGTAAACTCAACAAGATTAGCTAGATCGTCTGTTGGATTCTCACGCATTTTGGCTAACTCCTCGAACTCCACTGACATTGGTACACTTATCTCGTTAGGATGTCGTCTATAAAATTCCTTTATAGACTTCAAGCGTGAATAGAATTCAGAGAACTCATTCGGACCAGAAAGTGCTTGTACCTGAAAATATAAAAATCACAATACCTATATTTAATTAAACCTATTAATATACAGTTTAAACACAATAGATTTAGGTGTCCATTCTTATTTTTGTATAACATACCAGTTAGTTAACGTTATTTAAAAGACGTCCATAAATTATAACCTAGCATATTTAACAGCTCTTTTAAGTGAAAGTTTGCGTACAGCTGTCAAATATTTGTTAAAGACTGTATAAATGTAGCAATTGCCTGTTGTATATTACCTCTTCCTTTCTCTGCCCATCTTTGTCTTCATAAAGATCTTGAAGATGCACTGTACTGTCTGTAAATTGATCAAGTAACATTTTCAGACGATGCTCTGAATTGATGTTTTCACGATGTCCAGGCTTTTTATGAAGCATTTCTTTAACCATTGCGTCCATTAAACGCTCCCGCTCTTCGTGATAACGACGTTGTTGCTCCAAAATTGTCTCCATATTTACTCTAATATGAAATAAACAATTTTTCCACTTTAAACAACTCTAGCCGCTCTGGCTACTAGTTCAACTATAAACCACCATGAACGTCGTAATGAAACATGACGCTGTCTGACTACGCCGTGTGGACGTTCACTAGGGGTATATTCGGAAATTCACTGTCAGTACTGCGAACATAGTTGTATCTCACTCAATTGCATTCAGGTAAATAGAGACACGACGATACTAGTAATATGTACTAACAAATGAATTTCGGTATGCATCCTAAGTATTATTTTAAAAAATGTTTTCTACTTTGATTCGGATTGCAATTAGATGAATTAAAAGCTACATAATAGTATTGCACTTGTACAAAATAAAGAATAAATCTGTAGCAATCAAAGAGCATAAGTTCTAAAATCCACCACCAAGCATTGCTATTGCTGTTACAGATAAACAGAGATGTAATGATAACCACAGCATCCGCAATGAATTTTATAATGTATCCCGAGTAATCAATGTCTAATTGTATTTTAGATACATTTCTAAAATGATTAGGGACAATTTTAAAAGGATTTTTAAAGAAAGATATTTTTGTATCACAGTTACACGCTTTATATTTAAGCAATAACACACGTTACATATATACGTATTTTTAATAAAAGTATCAGATTTTATTTCTATAGTTTACAGTTTAATCTCTCTATATAAAAACAGTGGCGTCAGCCGTATCAAAATTCGCAGGTAACAAATTTTGACACGCCAAGGATCATCATCGCGGCGTCCTACCCTTTTGCCGAGAATAAAGCGTCCCTCGAGTCAAAAGTTTAGGAGCCCAGCATCATATATATTAGATTAAAACCATTCTAACGCTACATCGATATTATCCCACTAGACAGTAATATGCTTATTTATTCACGATATAAATTAAAAGTCAGACCTTATGGTTTCGAAAGTATGTACGACGTATGTATCTTTGCGCGTTGCTTAAAATTACATTGTATTGCTCGACACGAACCACTTCTTGTGGATTTTTCACGTCGTGTCTGCGCACGCTATTATGCAATTGCAAAGCGACATTAAGTGTCGATGGTATGGCGATTTTTTATCTTCTCGTTCCACTCTACTAGTATTATTGAGAACGATATCTGTAGTGTCCTTTTGAAAGATATTTCCTCAGTCGGCCCTTCTTTTACAAGGGTGGTAGATACTGATTGATTTCTGGGGGTAAGTTACTTTTTTGACAATCGCATGGCTGCTGTTTTACTTGAGATCCGAATCCGGGTGGCGAATGCGTGTGCACGGGCGATTGCGATTTACCTTCTGGAGATATAAAGTTTGTAGGTTGTTGTGGAGAATTGAGAGTTTTCTTAACCCAGTCGGTATCAATAAGAGCATAAGTTGTGACCTAAGGAGTAAAAAAATAATTGAATATATTTATATTATTGGTAAATAAGAAAGTTTGTACGTACAGTATCTTTTTCATTAATGCTTACTTGATTTGTAGGCAAGCAACCGGTATCTTGACTGTAAACTCCAGTGAGTTCATAGTACCCGTCACCTCTATCACAAGCCAGAGGACCGCCAACATCTACTTGACACATATTGTTTCCTTGTTTTTGTGCTTTTACACAAACCAAAGTCTCATCTATATCGAGTAATGATTCTGCACCCTGAAGACGCTGCGAGCATTCTTCTGGAGTGAGAACATCGACATCGATACCGTGCATGAGAGCTCCAGCGACGTTGACTGAAATATAAAAAATTATTATTAAGATGCTTATAGATGTGGTAATTAACGATAGGTAAATAAAAGATTTTTATTTTTTACTTTGTAGGACAGTCTTCCCCCATCCGGTGGCAATGCACTTCCTTCCCGGTACTGGTTGTGGACTATTTCCAAGACAGATAGTGTCTACGTGTTGATCCAGTGTTACAGGGTGTTCCAGAAACAGAACAGCCAAATCGTAGCTAGGAGCACCTGGGTAATAACCAGGATGTACAGCGATAGAAGACACTTTGACGATTTCAAATGGAAGCGGTTCTTCGTTCTTCAACTCATAACCAAGTTTCCATTCGCCAGATTTAATCGACACTTCACTTGGCTGAAGTCTGATTAGGAAAAAAAAAACACTTTTGTGAGCATTAAACGTACATGTATAATAATAGGTGAATATCAATTTCAAAAAAAAAATGCAAATGAAAACATTTGAATGTAAATTCATAAAATTTGCATGATATTATCATATATGATGAAAAATAATCAATTGCTTCTGATCACTATACAAAGTCTTCTGACTAAATAAATATGATGCTTACCCATCGACACAATGAGCAGCTGTCAGAATGGCATTCGGTGTTACAATGGCGCCTGAGCATAGCAGCTTCCGGTCTCTGGTAGACAGGATCATCGCTTGCCATGGAATTTCGCCAAAGGCAACGTCAACGTCGCTCAAGCCACTTGGACGTTGTACCTTTTTTTATGAAGGTGAGAATGACATGAGATAGCGAAGACAGAAAAGATAGAAAAGATAGACTTAAGATGTCCAAATGCCAGTAACCATTAACGTTTATCCTAATGGACAGATGACAATTTCCTACGAGAAATTAGGATTTCCGTAAGAAATGTCCATACATGTACTTATAGATTTGAAACATAAACGATGAAGGCATTTTTATGTTAATAATATAGTTAGATGTTATTTTGCCAATTTTATCATGCAAGTAGTACTTGTAAGGTACAACAAGTCTGCTATTTTTATGCGACAGGTTTTGGATGCCATAGTTGAAAGGGAATATGCTGTGTACATGTAATAAAGTATAGTAAAGTAGAGTAAAGTAAAGTCAGTGAGATTTAGAGTAGACGTTCGTGCAATGCATGGTTGTGGTCACGTATGTTTTTTTTTGTACACAGGATAAATAGGTCGTGGTGTCACATCCAAATTAATTAATTTCTTATTTGAACAAAACTCTCATATTTTATTAGGCGCTATATAATAATATATATATATAGACTCATTGAACACAAAAGTCTGTCATGGAGTATTATTTCATTTGCGGCAATCATAGTAGCTAGCGTTTTCATTAAACACTTCTATTATTAATAACATTCTAATAGCTAATCACAATAAAGGACACTTACTTTGTTTTTCAATCCACATTGGCTTCCAGGCGTATGGGGTTTTATGATTGTAGGATTCTGGTTGCTCGAGGCGGAGTCATAGTTTTTTCCTCCAAACGGATTAGGGAAGTTTGGAAAGCTTGGCAAATTCAGGTTCGGTAAATTGGGAAAGCTTGGTAAATTACTAAAAATACCTGGTGGCTTATTTGGAATTTCAGGTAGAGATTCTGGTGGTGAATTAGGAATACCAGGGTTCAGGGAATCCTCAGGAGCTTCGACGGGAATTCCTGGTTTCTCAGAAGGTTTCTGGAATGGGTTGTTAGGCAGGATATTGGAAATGGTGTCAGCAATTTGTCCAGGAATATTAGAAATTTGTGGTGGTAATGTGGGAAGCCTCTGGGGAACATTGAAGCTGGGACTAATTTCAATAGTTTTTCCAGGTTGAGACGTTTTGGTGGGAGGTGGTCTCTTGGATGGTGTTTTGGTTAGATTCAGAATTTTTGGAAAACCTTGCTCATCAAATCCACCACTGTAATCTGCGGGAAGGTTACCCGTTGGCCACGGGTCCACGTAGTTGGGATCGCGACAACACTTTCCAATGACTCCATTATCCGGATTTTTACAATTCTGTGAGAAATTATGATTTTATAATGATTAATATAACTAAGTTATAAAGCTTCATTTTTGTGCATTGAATATTCATCAACTTTATGAATGCTAAATTCGTATACGAGTACTTACGCTCAATGGTACTCTTCTCTGAAGTTGTTGACTGGTCAGTGCAACAGGTTCCGGACTAATAACTCCTTCCAGAGTACAAAATTGTTCCTCGACACAAATCAAAGCAGCTGCACATCCAACTTGGAAAGGAGATTCTTGAATTGGTGGGAATGAAGGTGCAGGTGTAATAGGTACTTGTTTGGTAGGTGGAGGTCTTATGTCAGGAACAGCATCACTTGGATGACCTGATAGGGAAGACAAATTTGCTTGAAAATTTTAAAGTTCCTAGCGTATAGTTATCTTCATTGATTATAATAATTATTTGATATCACTATACCTTCATGTGGTGGCAAAGAAATAGCTGGTACGTCATTGGAAGATGAATCGCCAATAGGAGGCAGGTAACCATTATTCTCCGCGGAACCTGACGATTTGACACCAAAATTATTACCATCACCGCCGTTTAAGTCTTCTTGAGAGTTTTCGAATGAGGATCCGAAAAGACCACCACTTTGTTTATTCTGGTTGTCAAAAAGTCCACCGCTAGAAGACGGTCTGGAGCCTGCCGATGCACCGGCATTAGCATTAGAACTGGCAAAGCTTCCGGAACCAAAACTTGAACCTCCTAGAGTAATTTAAAAGTGATTATTCAAAATTGAATGAATTAATACAATAATTTTTAATAAAATATTAACCTTGACTAGAACCACTTCCAGCTGCAGGTTTTGAATCTAAGGGGCCACCATGTTGTTTGACCTGATTGTCAAAAAGTCCACCACTGGAGGATGGTTTGGAGCCTGCCGATGCACCAGCATTAGCATTAGAACTGGCAAAGCTTCCGGAACCAAAGCTTGAACCTCCTGAATTAATTTGTAAGCGATGAATCAAAATTAATTAAATTAATACAATAATTAGATAAATTATTGAACTCTTACCGCTACTAGATCCACTTCCAAATGTAGATTTTGAATCGAAAAGACCACCGGAACTGGGTGTAACATGAATCAGACCGGAATCTGGCGATCCAGTGGCAGTGATCAAAGTAGGTGAACCCGTTGGAGCAACATGAATAAAACCACTTCCTCCCTGACTGTTGGCTCCTGCTCTAGTACCAAAACTGGTTGAGACAGTTGATTGGCTACCGGATTGCGCAGAATTGAATCCGCTCTTTGATTGATCGACATTGGAACCGAGTGGATGCAAACCACTTTGGCTTCCGAATTGTCCAAACTGATCTAATTTACTCTGAGACTGATCACTTCCGGAATTAGCACTTCCAAAACTGGAGGTACTTGCGAAACTTCCGGCAGAAGATTCGGCATTACTTGAAGATGGAAAATCGACGCCCTGAACAAGTCCAACTTGAGTTGGAGCCCCAGAATAACCTTCTAAGGTGCAACATACTTCACGACCTACAATGCACTGTTGAACCTGCAACAGCAAAAAACAACTCTTGTTATAAATTCAGGCACCTGCCAGAAGTAACAACACTTGGCCCTTTTTTCAAATTCTTAAAGCATCCATAAGTTCGATTCATTTCATGGCGTATATGATACGTAACTTCATATTGAGCAAAATTTTTAGGAATTCCGAATCGCACAAAAGATATCCGATAATAATTGAATAAGGAGAGACACTTATGATTTCTGTGCTAAAAATATTACATCTTGCGCGAATTCGAAAGATCACTTGCTGGTAAGAAATTCCGGTTCTCCTATATACCCACGCAATTCAACTTTTCAATGACATAGCTTTCTTTTTTTCATTATTTCTTTCTTTTTTTAACCACATCCATACCGTTTTCGCATACGTTTTGTACAATCGATGCGAAATTTTCGCAAGTCAGTCAACCAGGTTCAGATAAATTTCATAAGAGTTTTCTTGTTGCAATTCGAATGCCAGTAAAAAGGAAAGATCATATTGCGCTTGCGTAGAAAGATCATTAGTACTATTATTTATTATCGTGTACTCCAACGGTTGTTATAAAATTCCAGCAAGCTACGAGTTAATAAAGATCCTCTTAGGAGTGATGATGGGATCGAGTACATAATATGAAAAGATAATCATCATCCTATTCCTAAATACTGTATTGGATAATCCCTCAGCTATTAAGATATTAATTGGTTATTAATTGACTCTCTTCAGATCGAAGTGCGATCTCCAAAATTGAAATTCCATTCGATCGATATGTGAATACGATGTAGCTGATTAACCGGCTCGTGTCTGGCAACCACGTCGATGTATAATCAATTAAGAATCGCGTATAACAGGTGGGCAAGATAGGCGATATTCGAAAGTCAATATGTAAATTCAATCGAGAAATTCGATCAAGAGAAATGGCTTTACAGGATCGATATTACGATTACAAAAAAAAATCCTTGGCTAACGAGCTAAGTCTATTTGGTTAATTTTATTAATGAATTGCTGAACTATGCAATTATTTTTTTGAGAATTATTTCTACCTCGTTATCAGTAAATCTTGATTTTTGTTTTAATCTATACAAATCACGAATGACTTTTACGATTTGACATTTTTGCAAACACGTGTCGTAAATGTTTCAATATTGTTAAAGTAATTACATCATCATTCATCTATTGATAATATATATTTGAATACCTGACATCTGTCATGGCGCAATACTTATTGGATTTATGGGTTGCCATGAAATCGATTGAATGTCATTTACAATGAGAACTCGTGGATGAGATTTCCAAAAAGGTGGAAAGTAGGTTATGGCAATCACGGAGGTCAGATGGTTTGAATTTTTTCATAAAAGATTTTGTTGGTTAATGTTATTTCTAAAAATTCCTTGAATATTAATGCCAGTCGATTTTCACTTTGAAGAATATTCAATAAATTTAATATTTCGCGAAAAAAAAATGCGTGACTATAGTTAACGCAGCTATCCCATGCCAAATAATCAAAGATTATCCTGGAATATTTATGAAGTATGTTTACAGGAATTTTATTTGTTTAGAACAAGAGACCTGTCAAATATAAATTACTGATAATCATCGTAAGTGGCTGTCATTTCGAAAGACGTCCCTAAAAGAAATTGGCAAACTAAAGAAGAGGACTACCTTGGTATTGCCTTAGGAAAATAAAGTCTGCGCAAGACTTGAATTAGCCGTGCCCAAGTCCAGAGTCCATTGAAAGACGCCGAGCAATTGATATGGCGTAATCAGCGAATAAATAAATGAAACGCATAAAGTTGCGTTTACTAGTAAAATGGTAAAATGACAAGATAAGTAAACGAATATTTTCCTTCTTCGCAACCCGAGGATACATAATTACGTAGACTGAAGTGCGTATACAGGAGCTGCCATAATTAACATGAAAATGCTGCAAGCCGTAGGAGCCGTTAAGAAAAAATTCAAAAAGGTTGTCCGATGACCTTAAGTGCGATAAATCTATGCGAGAAAAGACACTATTGCTCAGATTCATTGATTGGTAACATCGATCGAATGAAAGCAAATTGAGAGGATACCGTTAGGTGTCTCGATGACTTCCGTGATGAAATTTAAGAATCTTTAAGCAACTATGGAATTCTTGGAGAAATTGTTGACAGTTAAATTTATCACTATCAATACCATAAACCGACATATCGAACGTGAATGCTTCAAACTGAAAACCCATCGATTGGCTCATTCGCGTGAAAGTCTTTTTTTCATTTAATTCCATAAGCTAATAACCCTTGTAAGCACAACCAATCATAAATGGAAAGTGTTTGCATTACACCGTTGCATACGTATGTTACGTTTCTGTACTTATTACATGGTTGAGCTTGATTCCTATCGTTTTCTATAACGCCTTAATATTTTAAATACAAATTGTGTTTTGAAAACTTAAACCACAGATTTTTATGCTGTTAATATATGAATTACATTCAATAATTTTGATATAAAATTTTGGACTTACATTGTTGACCAAGGTAGTACTAATCTATTGTCTCATCAGATCTGATCAGATATATTGTGGGATAACATTATTCCTTGGAATACAAACTGATCACCTGACTATTTGTGGAATCTTCTGAGATCATGATATTGGCAATCGATCGTGGTTTGAATAATACATAACAGAATCATGCTTGTTTCTGACTATGGCCTTGTACCAGTCATGCATTTGCTGTACTTTCCGAAAATTCATTAACGCACGTAACATGCGATATAATAAGGTACTTGATTCGACACAGCACGGGCGTCGATTACCGGTGTAATTTTTCTCGCATACGAAAAAGCATCGTTATTCATTGAAATTACCGCATTAGCACGCCGTGGACGTCCGAAATTCTCGAGCTCGAGTACAAGCAGATGCGACTGATTTTACGCGCGTTGTTATTTATGTTCTGTCCAATTGCAACGCATTAAAGCAGGAACGCTTTCCCTTGATGATTTTAATGACTCTCAGGTAAGTACGTTTTGCGACCTTCGTCAGGCACATTCGATCTTGTATAATCTTATGAAATTCAAACTGTGTACAATTTTCCCGCCAAATCGATTAGCTGCAATAATTTGCCATATTATTTAGATTACTAAGAATTGTTTTTACATCGCCTGAGTAGATTTCTTATAACGAATTTGACGATATCCTCGAGATTATAAGTAAGTCTTACATCAGTTCTACTCGATGGTAAAAATCGATTATATCCTTGTATCGATACGCGTGATGAGGAAAAGTCGAACCGTCCAGATATAAAGTATTAGAATTAATTCACTTTTAGGCATTTACAAATTTGCACGAGAGAGTGTTAACTGTAGGAAATCACTGTTATACATAATACCGTTCAATAACAAACATTTTAATTGCATTTAACCTTCTTCAAGTCACTTAACCTATCTGATTTGTTATTCAGCCCGACGGTAAAAGAAGTTTCGTACCGACATGTAACATGAACACATGGACCGGTCTTAACGTGCGTAACGCTCGCGTTAATCGAATTCCGGCGTCGCGTAGTGTCGAGACGTAGACGCATCAGGCGTAGAAAGTAATCGGTTGCGAAGGTGAAGAATCAGGAATGCTGTGATGACTCGTGGTAAAAGCGTGCCTCTGGTGCGTCCATGGCGTTGTATGTCGCGTCAAGCGGCGCCAAGAATTCAAAAGAGAGGACAGGAGAAAGAATTTCGTAATCGACCACGTTGCTGCAGACCATCTTTTTGCTGCTACATAACGAGTCGCGTTCTTGTCTCTTTGGAATCTTTATGTGGATGAGGTTAAGTGAACCAAGTGAATACATTAGACGAACACCAAATGGGATACAGTACGGTGAGTAAAAGGAACTCTATAGGTACCAAATGATCTTTCCCGATTCGAAGATTGCAATAGCTGTGACATAACCTCACTTTCGCCGATCTATCAGACTTCGCATAAATAAAGAAATGCACGATCCAATGCTGGACCTTCGACCCTATGATGTCCGCTGATTCTGCCCTCCTTACTAGAGAAGCAAACCCGGGTGATCATAGTTTGCCCTTCCTTGATGTTATCCGCTTATTGATTGCACAATCAATTTTGATGCTTTGACATTTATTACTTCCTCGATATGAATAGTATAGGTTAGAGTTTACGCGGTATAATTATAATCTCTGTGGATTTGAGGACAGTTTTCTGTACAGTTGGCAATTTTCAAATTGACGTTAGTGATTTTTTATTCACGGGGCACTCGTGCCGTCCTATGCTAATATATGGTAATTCTTTATTCGCGCACGTAACCATTAAATATTTAATTGGTATCATCAGCAATTTAGGGAGACCGTACGACAGTTGCGCGTCAATTTTTAATATTATAAACTTTCCAAACTGAGAATAAAAATAGTGAATATTCCGTTTTCTTTTGGCAATTAGGTGATAATATATGTCCTTTGAATGAGACGAGTGATCTCATAGCCAATTTTTAAGATCGATTATTGATTGATTTATTAATGTCAGTAAATCTATACGTAAAACTGGCTCTTTTCTTATTCGTTAAGTATGTAAGGACAGAATATTTTCTTGACTTCTAATTTATGATTGCCATTTGCGCGCTACTGTTTTTATTCTTTTATCGTTAAGGATTCTGTACTAATCTGTCAAAGTTCTGTACTTGATTAAACATATTATTCGTAGAGTACGACTACCTCCTGTTGAAAAATATTATATAGAGATCTAATTTTAAATACTGTAATCAAATACTTTGTCCAAAAGTAAAATGAGTTTCGAGGGGG